GACCCAGGACCTACCCTGGGGGCCCTTTCCTCTCCCCCTTCCCCTTTCCCCTCTCTTCCCCTTTCCTTTTTCCTTTCTCCTTCCTCCCCTTTTCCCTTCCCCCGTGGGGCTTTCACAATTTGAGAGGAGCCTTGAGAGGCTCAGAATTGAGGGTGGAGTAGCTAGGGGCCAGAGAGCACCTCCCACCTCACCCACCTGGGCCATACCTGCGGTCCTCTGCTACTCCCAGGCACACCCGATTGTCCACCTTTGGCGTTTGAGGTCCGCCCTTCTGGGGGCTTCCTCCTCTCTCTCCTTTCCCTCTGGAGGCCTCATGATGGGAGCTGAGGAGCCCTCAGTTTCCAGGGAAATGGGCAGCTTCCTGCATCATTTAGAACCAGGGAACCTGCCTTCCTTGGGGGATGGGGAGAGACCAACATACTTCTGTATCAGGCCCTCACCCTGCCTTGTCCCCACCATCATTAGAACAAGTTTGGGGCAGGCAGAGCGGGAAGTGGGATCCCCATTTTCCAGATGGCAAGGACTGAGGCCCAGAGAGGCTTAGGGAGTAAGTGTGGCTGAGCTGGGCCCAGGGAGCCTCCGCAGTGTCTTGGAAGCCCCTCCTGTGTATGGGAGGTCAGGCAGTGCTGCTGTGAGGGAGGCCCAGATCTCAGGCCTCCCCCTCCACCCAGTCGCAGACAGACACGCCTGCAGGCTGCTCCCTGGGCACCACCGATGTTCCTTTTTCTGCCACACTTTTGGACAGGCTGTCCCCCATGCCTGAAGCGCCTTCCTCCCTCCTCACTTGTTTCTCTTGGAATCCCTCCCTCCCTTTTGACTTTGGATAGATTCCATGTTTCCTTGTTCCAAAGGGCTTGTTTTCCCAGGAGAATGTCAGCTCTCCGAGGGCAGGGAGTGTTTAGTGTCCTACCTTGTCCCAAGCAGCCAGCAAATGAGAGGAGCTGAATTGCCTTCAACCCTGTGGTTTCCTGGGGACAGGGGTGAGGGCAGCCAGCCTCCCTGTCCCTCCTGGGTGGGGCTGGTCAGCCTGGCTGTAATTGAGCTGGGTTTGGCAACCACCCCGGCCCCAGCTCTGAGGTGTATGGGAGGGAGGCATCTTCCTGGCCATCTGTGAGTCCTGTGGGGTGACTGCCCACCATGAGCGCTGGCGTATGAACACCAGCACAGGAGAGCCGGGTGGGGATGCCCTGGCCATCTCTGTGAGTCCTGGGGATGACTGCCCGCCATGCCTGCTGGTGCCAGCAGAGGAGGACCCAGTGGGAGGCCTGATCCAGGCCTGGGGAGGGAGGTCCCTCACTAGAGACAGAGACCCTTCTGCCTCTTGGCCCCGTCCCCTTTCTGTTAGCCATCCCCCAAGCTCTCTGCCTTCTTGGGTCCTTGGGTCCACTCGTGGGGGAGGCAAGACAGGGACGATTCTTTGCCAATGTCTGTCCCCTGGTGACAGGAGGTGGGGAGGGCCTGGGGAGGCCTGAGTTGGGTGGCGCTGCTGGGGTAAAAATAAAGCAGAGTAAGAGTTCCAAGGCAGTGGCTGAGGTCTGATTCTGCACGCCTGCCCTCGTGCCTGTCTCCTCACCACCATCATTCCTCCCAGATTGCGAGGGTTGGCAGAGCTATAATTCAGGACCAGCGCCCTTTCCCTGACAGAGAGGGAGGGCCCGGATGCCTCGGGAGGTGACCAAGCCTGGGATGGGGCCAGTGGGGATGCCTCTAGCCTCAGCCTGGACTGCTCCTTTGCTCAGCTCTGGCTGGGCTCTCAGGCTGGCCGATCAGGAGCTCCCGAGTGCTAGGAGGGCAGGCTACTGAGACCCAACCTGCTCAGGAAAGGTGGGGCTGCAGTGGGGCTGGGATGTGGCCCTAGATCACTGGGAGTCTGGGCAGCAGGTGGGGCCCAGAGAAGGCCGGGGTGTGGGGCCCTGTCTGGCACTGCAGGTGAAGAAGGGTGTGGACAAAGCCTGGATGGGCAGGGGCTCATTTGGGGGACCAGGGGGAGATGAGCCTGAGAGAGGACTCAGGGAAAATGGAGCATTGAAAAAGCCTTGAATGCCAGTCCAGGGCTGAGGCCAGTGGGCACAGGCTTCCCATTTCTCCTTCTAAAAGTGAGGAGGCAGAGGGCTGGCCCTGGGGTAACCTGAGGATCTTGCTTTGAGCCGCAACCCTGGCCCCACCCTGGGCCTGGGCGTTGGGGGGGGGGCTCCCCTGCCCTTCCTCCCTGCCCTGCCTTCTCCCTTTCTCTGGGGGCTTCCTAGGCTGCTCCCTGTGTCTAGGTCTTCCCATGTGACTCATCTCCTCAGTAGGCCTGGCCTCTCCCTGAAGGCCTGGGCATGGGGCCGTCAGTGCAGGCGGTGGGTGGGAGTCCTTGGAGCCAGGGTGGGCCCCCTTGAGCCCCTGCTGGACAGAGGATGGCCATCCCACCTCCCAGATGGGCAGGAAGGCCTCCCAAGCTGAGGAAGGGAATGTGGGCATGGGGGAAGATGACAGAGCAGGTATGGGGCAGGGCCCTGGCGGCTTCCCAGGTGGCCAGCCCTCTGGTCCCCTTGCTGACTGCCTTGTGGCTGTGACTTGTCTGAGGAGCCACACGCTGTTCTGGCTGCATGCCTCTGTCTCTGCCCTGCCTCTGAGAAGATCTGGGCACCCCCACCCTCCTCCCCACAAAGGGTCACCCTCTGTGTCTCTGGACTTGTAGGGGGAGCCCCCCGGAGTCGTCAGTCATTGGCCTTGTCCTCCCATAGCAGGAGTTGGTGCTGGCTCCTTAAGACAGAGCCAATGGATACAGGGGGATTGAAGGCAGAGCCGAGCCCAGCAGAGATGACCCGGGGCCTCCGGGCTTTCATTGGACACTTGGGTGGTAGAACTATAGGAGTAGCAAGGGTCTGGGGGCTGCAAGGTGGGGCAGAGAGAGATCAAGGAGGGAAGGAGCTGCTTTGGGGGGGGCCACTTCATGGAAGATAGCAGGCAAGAAGGCTTCTCTGAGGAGCTGCTCGGGGGGCTCCTCCATCGGCTTCCCTTCCTCCAGCTCCCTGAACACCAGTGGCAGCAGCAGCAACTCGTCATGGAAGCCGATCTGTTAGCAGCGGCATGCTCAGGGCATGTCGGGGGCTGCTGGCAGCCCTCCCTGGGCCGGGGAGGGGCCAGTGATCAGAGGCCCAGAGGCTGGGAGCTCTGGGGCCCTGGCTGGCTGTGAAGGCTTGGCTGAATCATCCCACTGACTGGAGAACATATTCCAAGGCCTAGGTTGCCATACATACCTATTCACAGCATTTGTTGAATTGGGTGCTCTGCGGGGGGGCCATCTTGGCCCTGCCCTCAGGGAACTTCCGGTCCTGTGGGAGGGAGACAAGCCTCTAGCATGGGCCTCCAGCCAGGCTGGAGCTCTGGCTGAACCCGCCCTCTTCCAGAGGGAGTGATGCCCCCAAACCTCCCCATAGAGAGAGGGAGGCCAGGATGGAGGTGAGAATTTTCCCCCAGCCACTGAGCAGGGCCTCTAAAGAGGGTGAAGAGCCCTCAACAGAGCTGAGCCTGGTGCTGTGCTGGATGCTGGGGACGTAGAGACAGTAGGGAAGCAGAGCCTGCCCTCAGAAAGCTTCCATTCTAAAGGGCTGTATGAAGTTAAGCGCTAATGATGGTGCTAGCAAACACCTGTCTGGTGACTAGTGAGTGCCCTGAACCCTGCGAAGCGCTTTACAAACGTTCCCAGGTGATTCTCACCACCCCCCTGGGAAGCAGGTGCTACTGTCATTCCTATGCTATTACTAGTTGAGGAAACTGAGGCAAACAGAGGTTAAATGACTTGCCCAGGGTCATACAGCTAGTAAAAGTAGGAGGCTGCCTGACTCCAGATCCTGCTGTGTTCACTGAACCACCCAGATGCCTCTTAGTCCAGATAATTCTAGACCTGGGAGGGAAAGTGGTCCTAACTGTTGGGAGTGGGCAGTGCAGTGAGGGTGTAGAGTAAGGCACAGCGTGCCTGGCCTCTACCCCACCTGCCCAGCTCTCCGGCCCAGAGCTGTCCCTGGTGGGGGGTGGGGGGGTGGCCTTGTGGCTCCCCTCCCAGCCTCAGAGCCCCCTTCATTGGCTGGGGCTGGCTGGAGGCCTCTCCCTGCCCTGCTGCCTCTCAGAGTATAGGATTTCCGTCCTCACAGAGGGGAGACTATTCTCATTGCTCTCAGAGACCACCACCGTCACTGGCAGAGCTTGCTGGGATCCCATCACATTGGATACCTTCCCTGTTGATGGGCACCCCCCTTCAGTTTCCAGTTCTTTGCCACCATGAAAAGGGCAGCTGCCACTGATCTCTTTCTAATGGGTCTTTCTCCTCTTTCTGTGAGGACTGTGGGTAGAGGCCTAATACTTTTATGTGCCCCTGGATTGGCCAGCCCACCCCCAGCGTATGTCTCCCCCTCCATCACCAGCCCTGCCCTGTCTCTGGCCCCAAACCTTCAGCACCTCCTGACTTAGCCTGGCTTTGGAGGCCCCTCAGGCTGGCCCCCTTTCTGCCAGCAGCTAGGCCCCTGAGGCCTCTCTGGTCAGCCCCCAAGCTTCTAGAACTTCCCAGGCTCAGCTCCTGGTCTCCTCCTCCAGGAAGTCTTCCTTGGCTGCTTCAGACCCTCCCCCACCCAGAGACCAGACCCCGGAACACTCCTTATCTTGTCCTGATGCTGCTCTCCCCCCACCCTGCCCTGTGGGTTGTCAGCCTGCTGGTCTCAGAAGGGTGTGCATCCTGCAGGGAGGACTGAATGCGGCTACGCCTGCCACCCAGGCCTGGGGGGCCTTATGTGGGTTATCATTGGTCCCTCTAGCCAGAGCGCTCCGTCTCCCACCGCCTTGCTTGGGGGGCCTCCCCACAGATGCCCCCACATCCTGTGCCTCTGTCCCCATTTCCTGCATTCCTTCTACCTCCCCATCTGTCCCAGATCCTGCTCCTCGATGTCCGGGGCCACCTGGATGCCGGGGGCTGCCTTGAGGCCTCTCTGAATGCCTGTCTGCCTCTTCCCTTCCCCCAGGAGTCCTTCTGGACATCCAGCAGCACTTTGGAGTCAAGGACCGTGGGGCTGGCTTGCTACAGTCAGGTAAGACCCTCCTCCCACACCTGACAATGTCCTCTGTGGTTGGGGAGCCAGGCTGAGGACTGAGGCCTAAAAGGGTCGTCCCTAGCCATGTGTGAGAAGAGGTGCCCTGTAGGTCTCAGGGGTCAGGGCCTGGGACTGGAAGGGCCAGTAGTCCAGGCCCAGGCCAGGGCAGTGCAGGATGGCCAGACATTGGCCTAGAGCCCCAGGGGCAATGAGCTGAGATGGGGTGAGGAATCCAGGGAAACAGGTTTGACTCCGGGCTGAGGGCTGAGAGTTCAGGGTGGCCAGGAGGGGCTGGGCAGGGAGGTGAGGCCCTGAGGGCCCACATTTTGTATCTGAAGCCTGGAAAGCCAGGCAGTACAGACCTCTGAGCAGAGGGAAGGACAGTGAGGCTGGAGCAGGGAGCAGCAGAGAGCAGCCTGATGGTGGGGAGAAAGCCACGTGCCTGGGCTGGGGGGGGGGGGGAAGGCTGCCTCAGTTTCCCGATCTGTAAATTGAAGCGGTAGCACTCAGTGGCCTCTGAGGGGCCTTGTGGCTCTAGGCTGCTGTTCCTCTGACCTCTCCAATAGGGAAGGGGAAGAAGGTCCCATGGGAGGGTCACAAAGTGACTTCCTTGCCCAACCTTGTGAGGTAGGGAATGGGAGGATAACTGTGACCATCACACAGACAGGAAAACCATTGGGGAAGCGACTTGCCCAGGGTCACTCAGCTTGGTCTGGGACCAGCAGACTACCAGGAGCCGGCTCTGGCAGGCCCACCTGGGCCCTGGGGAGCGCCAGCTGCTTGTCACATGACCAAGTCCAGCCCTGCCCTTGCCGAGGTGTCTGTGTGTTCTGAGGCCCTGGCCTCTGGGAGCCTCTATTCTATGGGGAGGGGGATGGTGAGGGCAGAAAATGGCCCTGGGTGGGGGGCAGAAGCTAACAGTCTCCTGTCTGAGCTGCCTCGGCAGCTTGGGACTCCTGCCCCCTGGACCCTCCATAGCTCACACTTCCTGGGCAGTCCCTCCCCCAATAGCACCCCGGCCCAGCCCAGCCCATTCTCTGCTCCCTGGCTGAGAGTCGGCTCTGCCCCACTAGAATGGGAGCTGCCTGAGAGCAGGCACCTGTCATCTGAGCCTTAGAAGTGCCTTGTTCTGATGGGCCCTAGTGAGCAGAACCAGAAGCCTTGGGCAAACTGCCGAGGGGCTCCATGTCAGGGCGAACTCTCCAGCCCAGAGATGTCCCTGGGGGGATGGGTGGCCTTGTGGCTCAGCCTCTCAGCCTCAGAGCCCCCTTCATCGGCTGGGGCTGGCTGGAGGCCTCTCCCCGCCCTGCCACCTCTCAGGGTATGGGATTCTGATTTCCATCCACACGGAGGGGAGCCTATTCTGGGCGCTCTCAGAGACCCGAGGCTGAGCCACTGACCCCCAGGCAGCTCTCGGTCTGGCCAAGGAGCTGAAACAGGCCCAGACAAGAGCGGGGAGGGCTTTGTGTGATGGGGTGGAGGCTCTGTGGCTTAGAGCCACCAGCTAGCTCAATTTCGTTTTAGTCTGTAAAATAGGGTTGGAAGGAGTAGACAAGAGGTTTCTCCCAGTCCCCCTCTAGCTCAGCCCTTCTGTGGTTTGGACACTTGGAGGAAGCCTAGGAGACAGGCTGTCCCAGGTGTGAATTCTTCCTCCTCCAGGCCTGATGCAGGACTGGGACTCCCCTCCCTCCCACACATCTGGGAATGGCCCAGGAACCTGCCTGACAGGTTGCAGATCAGCCCTCTATCTGACCCCACGACTTGAAACAGCTGGGGAGTCCTGGCTAACTGCCTATGGCTTTCTTAGGCCTGGGGGAGAGGCTCTGAATCCAGTCGGTAGGACTGCCTGTCTGTCTGTCTGTCTGTCTCCTTGGCTGGCCAGAGGAACCTCTTCTTCGTTCCCTGAGTTCCTGGAGGCAGGACTGAAGGAAAGGCAGCCAGGGGTCCCAGTCCTGGCACCTGAGCCCTAGCTTTGGGCAGAGGGGAGACTGGAGTGGAAAGCTTCCCTGGCCTCAGAAGAGAGGGTCAGGAAAGAGCAGAGAACTCCGGAGAGCCAGAGGGAATGGAAGGAACTTAGGATCCACAGTCCCCAGGCTGTACTGAGAGGATGCTGGGGCAGCCTGGACAGAGGAAGGGACTAGTCCAAGGTCATATGGTGACTGACACACATGTTTCCTGAGCAGCCTGGGTACCAGCCACCTGACAACCGGCTGGGTTTTGTGTCCCCCATTCCTAGGGGGAGTCAGCAGCTAGCCGGCTGGGGTGGGGCCCCATTGCTCTGTTGGCTAATCAGAATTAGGTAACATCCTGTGGGCCTCTTCAGCCCGTGGCTCCCACCCAGGCAACCTCCTGGGGCCCAGCCCTGGCCTCTCAGGCATGGGTTTGAGGCAGTCCTGGGGAGCTGGGCACCTCTGGATCACCCAATCCCTGGGGGAGGGAGGGAGAGAGCGAGCCTGCCCAGGGAAAGCAGGCAGCAGCAGCCACCAGTCCTGAGCTCTGCCTGGCATGGCAAGGTGGTCCAGCTTCCCTGCCTGCCTGTCTACAATTGGCAGGGCGTTAATTAGCTAATGAGCCTAATGAGGACAGTAAGTGGTGCCGAGATCTTCTGATGACTGCCCAGGGTTAGGGCGAGGATCTCAGGACTACTCATGACACATCCCGGCCCATGCTGCCCTGGCCCTTCCTGTCTGGCAGCCCAGGAGCTCCAGAGCGTGTGGCCCCATCAGGGCCAGGTGGTACAGTCCTGGCAGCTACTGACTCACCCAGTGAGTGACCATGAGCACTGGCCTTGGCCCTGGCTCCCCTGTGGGAGATGGAGCCTGGAAGGATGGAGAGGCTTTAGGTAGGCAGAGCTGGGGAATGAGGGGTGGTCAAATGGGGAGGAACCTTTGGGAAAGGGACTGAGTGAGTGTGTTCAGGGGAACCAAGCTGGCTTGAGCTGAGGGTTCTTGCCAGGGAAAGTGAAAGATAAGGTTAGAGGCAAGCTGTGGCCAGATGACGGACCTTGCATCCCGGGCACAGGAGTTTGGATATAGAAAGCAGCTGAGTGCTAGGAGCCCAGGGGCCGGCATGAGGAAGATGAGGGCATTGTGGGACCACAGTGGGAAGAATAGCCCTGCTTGGGACTAGTGGAAAGGTGCTGGGGGCTATGCCTTATTTAGAAGCAACAGATTGGATAGGGGGCCCCATTAGGGGATCACATGGTGTATACAGAAGTTCTGCTCCTGAGTGAAAACCCATGAGCCAAGTGGAGAAGCTCCATGGGTAACATTGGGGTGGGGATCAAAGGCGAGAGAATATTCTTCAGACTGGCCAGCCAGAAGAGAAGCGTGGCACACAGGGAGTCAGATAGTCTTCGACTGTCCGATTGGCTGTCTACAGATCTCTCTCTGCCTCTGTCTCTCTGTGTCTCTCCCCTCTCTCTCCTTCTCCTCCTCTGTCTCTCTTTCTCCCTCTCTCTCTGTATTTGCTGCAAATTCTCGTTGACAAAATCAGATTTTAAAAGGACAGGCCCAGAATGTGGATGGGCTAGGCAGTAGGGAAGCAGCCAGCAGACAGAGAAAGACTGAACATTAGAGGAAGGGATGAACTTGGGAGCAGTCTTCTCAAGAAGATGGGTGTGGGAATGGAAGAAAGCCAGGACTGTGTTGGAGCCAGCCTGTGCCAGCTCAGAGCTGAGTGTAAAATGGTCCAGGCTGTGCATTTACACATGGAGGCCCACAAACACTACACGAGCTTGATGTACCATTTCGTGGGCTGTGTAGATGGGGTGGGGGCAGGGGGCTGGTTTGATATGGGCTGAGAGTGAAAAATGATACAAAAACAGGCTTCAGGCATTGGCCTGGGGGAATTTGCTGACCCCTAGTCTAGACTTGAGAAAGGGATGGGGAAATGATGGTGAAGATGCCGATTAAACCACCGAGGGAATCCCGGCAGTCCACACCTTTTTTTCTGGAGGGCCAGAGGTTAGAACGTTCCCGGCACACCACCAAAAGGGGAGGCAGAATGCATCGGACTCGACGTGAAGGAGGCGAGGGGGCCAGGAAGTAATTCTGAATGACACTGGAAGAAGAGCGGGGGAGGCGAAGGAGCTTTGGGGAGAATGGCCCCAAATTTTTCAGTTAAAAATGAGCAAAAAGGATTGGGGGTGCCCTCTCTGCTGTGGCAGAGAAGACCCCTGCTGCCAGGAAAGGCTGGAGCATGGGAGGGAGGAGTAAATGGATTGCCACGCTGCAGGAGGGTCCAGCTTAGAAAACACCCATTTTTAGTGACCTGCTCAGGACAGTTTTGTGACTTTCTCCACTTCTGTTCGGCAACAGGTGACTAGGAGTGAAGGGAACCTGAGCTCGGAAGGCATGCAGATGTCGGTGAGGTAGTGTCAGCCCTGGGACAAGCAAAGGAGGAGGGGGACTTGAGGGCACCGTGGAGTTGAACTGATTTACCAAGGGGTTAAGAGAGGGAAGGAAGGAGAGTGCAGGGTTGGGGGAAAACTGAGGGATGCAGGGAATTGGGGGGAGGGGTGTTGCAGTGATGCCAAAAAAGAGGAGAGATGGAATGACAAAAGAAATCGGTGATCCCTATGAACCAGCATAGGTTCCTGACAAATAGACAAGTCTTTGACAAGGTTGCTAGAACGCAGGAGGGCCATGAGGACACTGGGGTTTCACCAAGGCATCTGAGAGGCTCTCGGGATACCTTTGTGGGCAAGATGGAGGCTCGCGGGCTGCATGGCCAGCCAGTGGAGGGACTGAGCTCAGTCACAGGTGACTGATGGATGGTGGTGGCACAGACATCTGTCCTTGGCCCTTGTTGGCAACTTGGACAGAAGCACGGACCAAGAGCTTCTCAGATTTTCAGATGATGGCATGTGTTGGACCTGTCAAAGGCCAGCATGATTCAGAGCCAGCCCTAATGAGAAGGCCCTTGATGGGGATAAATGGAGACTGCTGAGGTACAGTTCCCAAGTCAAGTGCTCGAGGGCAAGAGATGTGGTAGTTAGCAGTTTATGCGGTTTTATGGGGGAGGTCCTTGGGAATTAAGCATGTGAGTGGCGTTCTTCAGGTAGACTGACCACAGTCTGAGAGGCCCCTGTGGGAGCCCATTGGAGAGGAGGATGGAGCCAGTTCTGGGGGCCCCATTCAGGAAGGTCATTGGTGACCCAGGGAGACCCTTGGAGGAGCCCAGGGCTGGGGGGGCGGAGGGCCAGGAGACCGCCAAAGAATGACAGCGATAATGGTGCACGGCCGTAGCTGACCCTCAGTCAGAGCCACCCAGCCTCTACACACCTGATCCGTCCTCCTGACACCCCTGTAGGGTGGCCCACTTGGGGCAGGGGGAGTCACATCGCACAGAGGTGCCGAGTGAGGCCAGGCTTTTCAGGAACTGGCTGCAACATCTGGGGATGCTCAGCCTGCAAGAAGGAAGTCTTTGGGAGGATGCGAGAGCTGACTGTCAATATGCCAAGGGCTAAGAAGTGGCGGAAGGCTTAGCCTTTCCATGCTCGGCCTGGGACCGCAGACCCAGCAGGACCTGTGGGAAGGCAACTCCAGGCTCCCTCGTGAGCTCTCCAAGGTGGGGCTGGGACCCCCCCAAACTCCCTGCGGTCTCCAAAAGGAGGCTAGTCTGGAGGACCCCTCACGGGGGGTGGTGCGGAGGGTGTTAGATTCCCAGCATGGCCTGAACTTGGTAGTTCTTGCCCTGGGGTGGCAGCAGCTGCCACCCCAGCCCCTCTGGGGCCCACTGCGGATGCCAGGGGTGGCCTCCTTGTATACACTCCTCCACACACACAGCCGGACTGCTGGGCAGGCAGTCCAGCCTGTTCTGGGACCTGACTCACGGGCGACCTGGGGCCAGCCCCTTAATCTCCCTGATTGAGCCTCCTTGTCTGTCTCTCTCTAGGCCTGATATGGTCTAAGCAAGGCTTCAGGCACCAGCCAAGGGTTGCCCATGCCCAGATCAAAGGCTTACCCAAGTCAGCAGCTGTCGGGCAGGCAGGGGGCCCAGCAGGCAGGCAGGCAGGCCAGCAGCTCTCGGGGAAGCAGAAACAGGTGGGGATCCGAGGCGGGAAGGCAGAGTGCCTCTGCCAGTTTCCCCATGCCACAGGCTCCCTCCCTACTGTGACTTGGGAGCCACACGGAGGGAGAGGAAGTGCCGCTCGGGTCCTGGCCAGCTGTCACCCCCCTCTGTGCCCTGGGGGTGTGGGGACAGGAGGGCACATCCCTCTGCTTTGACCTCCTGGTCTCTCCCTCCCCAGAGGGCTGCCGCCAGTGGCCAGAGCAAGCAGGGTGGTCTAATTCAGGAATGGGGGGATCTCCACAGTCCCCCGAAGTACAGGTGCCATAGCAGCAACTCGTCCCTTATAGAGGGTCTCCCTCGGCCTGGCCCTCTGTGCTTGGAGCCTGGGGTGCCCCGTTTGCTGTTCCACTTAGCTTCGGGCAGCTGATGGCACAGTGACTGGGGCTCGTCTTGAGTTCAAATGCAGCTTCACACATTTAGTAGCTGTGTGACCCTGGGCAAGTCATTAAACTCCGTCTGCCTCAGTTTTCTCAAATGTAAGATGAGAAGAACAGCAGCACGGCCTCCTAGGGTTGTTGTGACATCAAGCACATTGCCCGGTGTAAAACACGTGCTTCATAAATGTTTATTGAATTGAAAAAAAAATGCTTGCTGAGAAAAGAAAAAGACAGGTGGCCCCACCCTCAGAGAGCTGGCCTTCTGGGAGGGGAGGGCAGCGGCAGGAAAGCGGAGGCACACCCCCTTTCCAGGAAAGTAGAGGATGGCAGCCCCTGGGGGCAATGTTAGAAAGGAGGAGGAGGGAGGATGTCTTGGTGGCCGCACTGTGTGGTTGTGAACATCAGGGAGGTGACGCTTCCTGCACAGCTTCCTCCGCTCGGGGCTGATCCTGTTTTTGCCCTGTTCTTTTGGTCCGGCTCCTTCCCTGGGGGTGGCAGGAGGGGCTGAGGTCCATCCGCATCTGCCCATAAGGAAACCAAGCCGAAGGCATGGGACCGGGAGGTGGCCAGCCCTTTCCTAAATGACCATGTGGTTTCTGGGGGACTGAGTCTGGACTTTTTAAAAATATCCCTGGGTGCGAGGCGGGGGTAGACTGCAGACCTGGCTGGGGGCCTGGAGGCAGCAGTGTGGGAGTCCTTGGCATGGAAGCTTTCCCCCATCCAGCCCAGATCCGGGCAGCACCCACACTGCCCATCCTCTCATCTGCGAAATGGGGGAATGGGCCTGGGCCTGGGTCCCTTCCAGCTGCCAGGCACCGATTGGGACGGGGGCTTTGCAAGGCCTCAATAGCTCCTGCCTTTCAAAGTCCGCCACCCTGGCAGACTGGCCCGTGGCATCGGCTGGGGCGCTGAAAGAGCCAGCCCTCTGCCCGCGGGCTCCTGCCCTGCAGCTCTGTCCCAGACCATGTGGCTCCTTCTGTCTGTCACCAACCCAGCTTTGGTCAGACCTTCTCCTGAGCTGGTCTCGCTGTTTGTCCCTGCTTTGCAAGGATCCTCAGAGGGACCCCGCCGGGCTTTCTGGCTAAAGCCTGAGATCCTTGGCCCAGACCACTTCTGGCTTCAGGTTGTGGCTGACCCCAGACTGACAAGGTTGTCAGATTCAGGTCCTTCTGAAGGACCCCAAGCCCCAGCCCCTACTGCCCTTTCTTTGGGCCTCAGTTTCCCCTACTGTAAACTCTTCATCTCCAAAGTCCTTCCTGCTCTAAGGAGTCCAGGCCCAAGCAAATGAGGTTGATTTAATGGGCAGAGGTGTAAAGCCTTCCACTCACACCGGGCAGGGCAGGGAAGATCAGGGCTCCCAGGCCTGGCCGGATCGAAGGGAGCGGGCTGGTGATGGCAGAGTGCTGGGCCTGCCTGGAGCGGAGTGGGGCAGCCAAGATGGTGGCCTCAGCAGGCTGGCCTCCCCAGCAGGGGTGGTGGGAGCAGAGCTCTGTGTCCCGAGGGGCCCTAGCACCGCCGGTCAGCCCTGCAGGCCACCCTCCAGACCTCGCTGGGCTTCCCTCCTGTCTGAAGGCAGGATATCCCGGAAAGCTGAGTGTCCAGCTCAGCCAGCACAGGGAGGGCCCCGGGCAGCAAGCGAGGTTGGGCAATGTTGGGAAATCTGCTGCTTCTGGAAGATCGGATGGGAGCTGGGGGAGGGAGTCAGGCCGGGATGTCAGGAAAGGGTTCTGAGAAAACAAAGGCGGGGAGGGGGCAGCCTGGAGAGCCTCGGAGGGTTGGGCCACTACTTTGCTGCCTGGGCCTCTGTCTCCACATTTGTGAAATGGGTCAACATCTCTCCTCTGCTCCAAACCTAGGTTCACAGAAACAACTTCCAGAGCACAAAATGATCATGAAAAATGTCGGGGGTGGGGCTCTTGGGGATGCAAAGACCCGCCCTTGGTGCCATGTGATTTGGGGCAAGGGGTGGGGTCTCTGTGCCCAGGTTTCCACTCCAAAGGAGCTCTGGTGAGAGGAGGGCCTCGGAAACCTCACCCAACCAGAGACCAGGCAGCTCAGTGTTGGGGCCAAGACGGCCGATGGGACCCAGGGCAGAGCCCACCCAGGGTACCCGAGTCTGGAAGGGAAGCTCCTAGAGGCCAGGGCTTCGTCTCTGGGAGCAGGGCAAGTCCCTCAGCTGCAAAATGGGAATGATGGGGCCTCCCTCCCACGAAGGTGTCTGTGAGGAGCAAGTGAAATCATCTAGGTGTATGTGAGGGTGAGTCCCAGCTGCCCCCAGCCCTGGGCCGGCACACAGTCGGTGCTCAATAAATGCTTATTGGTTGTTTGAACTGGGGCAGTTTAGACTGGAGAAGAGCAGCCTGGGGGGTGGGGGGGGTCCCTGAGAGCCGGCTTCAAATGTCTTGTGGAAGAGACAAGTCAACAAGCATTTATTAGGCACCTGCTGAAATTCAGCTTGTCTGCTCAGCCCCAGAGAGCAGCTGCACACTCCCCTCCCCCATCTCTCCCCATCTCTGCCTCTGCCACTGTTGGTGTCTCTCTGCCTCCCCTCTTCCCCCTTTCTGTCTCTCCCTGTCTCCCTCGGTCTCATCTCCCTCTCCTCCTCCCCCTCTATCTGTCTCCCCTCCTCCTTCCCTCCTTCCCTCTCTCCCCCTGTTTGTCTCCCCTCTCTCCATTCCCCCCTCTTCCTCCTTCCCCCTTCCCTCTCATCTGTCTCCCCTCCTTCTCCATTTCCCCCCTCCCTTCCTCCTTCCCTTTCTCCCCCCTCTCTTTTTTCTCTCCCCCACACCTTCTCTCCTTCCCCTTCTCTTCCTTCTTCCCTCCCTCTCTCCTTCCCTCTCCTCCCCCTCTCTGTCTCTCTCTCCCCCCTCCCCCATCTCTCTGTCCTTCTCCTTGTCCCTGTTTCCTCCTCCCTCCCTCCTTCCTTCCCTCTCTCTTCCCGCACCCCTTCTCTCCCTCCCCCTAGCACATGGCCTAAATCCCGCCATAGCTGGTGCTCAGAGCCTGGCTGAATTAAGTTTGGAAGCAGCTGAGACATCCCCACCCAGAGCAGGTTTCCAGGGAGGTGGAGGCAGGGGTATGCCCCCTTGTCTAGGGGTCCATCTTTGTTTAGGATGTCAGATAAGGGGGTGGCTCTGCAACCCGGGGGGGAGGGGTATGAGGATGCCATGCTCTGATAGGATCACGGAGGGTCCCAGCCCTCTCATTTAGAGATGAGAAGGCTGAGGTCATGGCTTGACCACAATCCCTCACTGAGTGAGTGACAGTCAGGACCTGACCCCCAGTCCTGACCTTTCCCTCTGGGGCTGTTGCCCTTGGCCTTGTCCTCTGAGGCTCCTAGCATTGGCCCCCATTCCTGGACCACCTTCGCCTGGTCCCCCTCCTTGCTCAGTTGAGGCTCCTGCCAGGCCCAGAATGCCAAGGGGAGGCAAGGGGAGGCCAGGGGAGGCTGGCTTCTCTCCTGGACTTCCCAAGGATGCTCAGTGGTGGCTGTTTGTTTTTAGAAAGCTCCAGCCCTGCCTGTAGGTGGGGCAGGAAAAGGCTGACCACCTCAGGCAGGAGGGAGGGGATGGACAGGACCCAGTCATGCAGGACATCTGGGCTCCCTGGAGCCCCTGCTGCTCCCAGCTACCATCCCTCCCCCAAGGCAGACACCCGCCCAGATCTGTGGTTCAGTGCCAGCTCTGGCCTTATCCCCCGGGAAGAGCTGGGTTCTGCCCTTCCCCCCCACCCCCCAGCCTACTGCTGGTGCTGCCCCTTACTCCTGGGGCCATGGGCTCATCCACGCTGAGTCATCCTGTACAGGAGGCCTGGGGAGGAGGCTTTGCTGCCTGGCTGCACTTCTGGGTCATGGACCACCTGAGGCCAGTGAGCTGGGTTCCTCTGATAGGCTGCTACCAGCCATCGGCCACCTGCTATTGACTAGGTGCCCGGGTCCCTGTGGGCATCTCTGGTCAGCTCCACATGTTCCAAGGAGTGAGTGTCCCTAACCCTTTCAAAAGGGCATCCGGGTGTCTGTCTGGGTCCAGGCTACTGGCAGGGGAGGGAGAGGAGCATGGTGCAGCCTCATGGCTGGAGGGCCTGGCCAAGGAGTACCTGGTCTCCACCCCTGCCATTGCATCCTCTCCTTTCTCCCCACAGGGCCTTGCCTACCCAAGAACGGGCACTAAGGGGCTCCTGACCTTGCCTTGCCAATAAAGGCTGAGCTTCAGCTCAGATGCCCACCAAGAAAGGGACCCCTCAGTGCCCCTCGGTAATCCAGCTCCCAACGCCCTGAACTCTTGGGAAGACGCGTTCACTTGCTCAGAGAGGGAAGCATCCTTAACGCACAGATATGGGACGTTCTGGGGGGAGGGGACAGAGAGGCCTGGTGGGTGGACTTTGGCCGTGCTCCTTTAAGGTAGGGCCTGCCCTAGCCACATTTCACTTGGTTAATAAGTCACTCGGAGCCCAGACGATGGGGCCTGGTGGTTGTTTCTGTGAATTCCCAGACACTGGCCCTTGTGGTTTCTTGGTCCACAGTTTTGTTTCCCATGAGCTGATCTGGCCCTCCTTCCCCCTTCTCTTCCTCTTCCCCCCTCCTCCTCCTTTTCTTCCCTGTCTTCGGGGGTTTGCAGAGGGTGTGAGAAGAGGGTCTTCAGTTACTTCCTATGGCTTCCTTGTGTGAGAAGGTCTGGCCCACTCAGGGCTCCTGTCAGTCAACCCTCCCCCCCTTCTTCCATCTTCCTTGAGCAATGGGTCTGCTGAGGGGGCTCAAGGTGGTTTGGAGATATGAAGGGGTATAGTAGCAGAAGTCCTGACCATGACAGCTTTAACAAGACACCCCAGGTGGGAGCTCGACAGCGGATCTCCCTGAAATGAGGGTCAGAGGTCTCTGGTGTCAAAGCCGCGAGGCCCCCCGGGATCCCTCCTGCAGCCTCTGAGTCTGTGTGGCGGCTGGAGCAGGAGAGCCTGGGGTCCGGTCCTTGCTCGGCCTCCACTTGCTCACCAGTAAAATGGGGATGACTGCCCTGGGCTACTCTGCTCCCCAGGGCCTCGTCCTTGGCCAGACGTTGTCTGGGTCGCCGGGCTTCCTGGCCTGTGCAGAGAGGAGCTGTCTGGGTTTGGTGCAGGCTGGAAATGAGCTTGTTTAAACAAGAATGTTTTCAGCCAAATCAGGGCAGCGGGACATGCCTTCTTGGGCCTTTCTGCCCTCTGGGGAGTTAGGAAAGAAAGGGAAGCCAGTGGAAGCTGGTGGGGCCTACCTTGGGGGACCCTCTCCCCTAGTGTCCCTGCCCCCCCAAATCAGCCTGGTGGGCTCCCCCAAGCCCAGCAGAAGCTGGTGGAGCCTGCCTTGGGGGCCCGTCTCCCCACCTCATGTTGCCTGCTCTCCCTCTCCAGTGTTCATCTGTAGCTTCATGGTGGCAGCCCCCATCTTTGGGTACCTGGGCGACCGCTTCAACAGGAAGGTCATCCTGAGCTGCGGCATCTTCTTCTGGTCGGCAGTCACCTTCTCAAGCTCCTTCATCACACAGCAGGTAAGGCCTGGGCGGGGGGAGGGGGGTCATGCAGCCCTGGGCCCACATTGCACTGCCCGTGGGGGGGAATGGGGGGGGACCCTGCTCTCTTCTGGGGCCAGAAGAACAAGGCTCAGCCCTCCTCCACAGGACCGCCTCCTCCTCTCCAGGAAGGGCCCTGTCCTGCGCCTGTGAGTCCGGGAGGATGGGATGTGTGTGTCTGGGTGTGTGTGTGCCTGGGTGTGTGGGTGTGTGTTCCTGTGTGTGCAGGGTGTGTGTGTGTGTGTATACGTGTGTGCCTCTGTATGTGCGTGTGCACGTATGTGTGTGCATGTGTGTGCCTGGATGTGTATTCCTGTGTGTGCAGGGCATTTGTGTGTATGTGCATGCCTCTGTGTGTGCCTGTGCATGCCTCTGTGTGTGCCTATGTATGTGCATGTGCACGTGTGTGCTTGGGGAGGGTTCATGTGTGTGCCTGGGTGTGTGGGTGTGTGTTTGGATATGTGTGTGTGCATAAGTGAGTGTGTTCTTATGTGTGCAGGGTGTGTGTGTGTGTGTGTGTGTGTGTACACGAGTGTATTCTTGTGTGTGCAGGGTGTATGTGTGTGTGTGGTGTGTGTGCCTGGGTGCATGTACATGGGGTGGGGCAGTCTTTGGCGGAGGCTCTGGCCGGCTCCATGGCTCTCTACAGCCCCTGTCAGGGTCCTGCTCTGAGCCCAGGCCTCTGCCCTGGGGGCCGTATGTCAGGCCCCTTCTCCAGAGACAAGCTGAGGGTCCCTCACAGAGTTGGCAGCGGGTCAGAACCAGAGCTGGAATCCAAACGTAGACCCCTCCCTGCCTCCCCCACCCCCTCCCCTTCCCAGGGCAAAAGGGTGGGGGTTGGCCCTGGGGTTGACCCCCTGCCTGGCCCTCCCCTGCCAAGCCAAGAAGGGGATTCCCAGCCCATGAGAAGGAGCGTGAACTTGAGGGCACCCAAGGAAACAAAAGCTGGGGGTCTGGGAGCTTCCCGGAGGCCAGGCCTCAGCTTGGGCAGCAGGGTGGAATTTTACTGGGAGGTAAATCAGGTCCGGGTGCTCTCTTTTCCCTCTGTGTTGCCTTAAGAGGAGTAGTGAGCTCCCCGTCACTGGCTGTCACTGGTCAGAGAAGTGTGCTAGCAGAGGCTGGGCTGCTGCCTCAGTTCCTCCCCCCCTTCCAGTCTCCGGTTCTGTGATTTTCTGAGCCGTGGGATCCTGGCAGCCCTGGCTAGGCTGGGCTGCGGCTCCTCTGGACGCAAACAGCCAGCTGTAGTCCACACTCGTTCTCGGCTTCCTTTGCCCCCTGCCCTCAGCCTCCTTAGAGTCTCAGCTCCTGGCTTGGGCCAAGGCCTGGGCCCAGTGAGATGGTCATGGTTTGTGAGGCCCCTGCAGGGGAGGGAAGGATGGACCAGAAGCAGGGAGGATGGGGGGAGGGAGAAGAGGAGGAAGAGGGTGGGCCAGGCCAGGGCCCCAGAGCCACCACCATCTGCCTCAAGGGGTCCTTCCCATGCCCGCCACAGCTGGCAGACCCAGCCTTCTTCCTTTGGACCCAGCTGGATGCAGCCCTCTCTCCTGGGATAGGGCAGAGCAGCCCCTTTGTGAGGTCAGAGGGGCTGCAAGGCCCTGGCTCCTGAGCCTGGCTCTTCTGGGCCAGTAATTGGTGTGGCCCTGCACAGAGGAATGCTGAGCATCCCCCCATCAGTGACACTTGGAGCTCAGCTCTGGGCTTGTATTCCTGAGAGGCTATGAAGAGGCAGGCTAGGATAGACATTTGTGGTAGTCAAGGCCCCCCACTCCCTCTCCACAGTCAGCCCCCCCTCTTCCCTGAGTCCCCCCTTCATTCCAGCCATGCCAGTTTCCCCCTGCCCAGCTCACTGTGACCTCTGGGCCTCACTGGGCTCACACTGTGCTCTCTGCCTGTCAGCTCTCTCATCCTCCTCCCCCCTCCTCCTCTTTCTCCCCTTCCTCCTTCTTCCTCCTTCCTCCTCCTCTCCCTCATCCTCTTTCTCCCCTCCTCGTCCTCCTAGAACAGTTTCCAGGATGGGGAGCTCACTACTTAGAGACCACCCATCTCTGTTTTCTGAGAGCTCTATTAAATAAAGACGTGTCCCTCGTCACCTGAAATCATCCAGGCCACCTTCGCACGCTGGGTCAGGTAGAATAACCCTGGTTTTTCTCCCCTGTGAGATCTCTTCTGACACCACAAGATATCTCTCAGTCCCCCCAGGCTCCTCCTCTCCCCTGCCCCCTTTCCTCCAGCTCACTCGATGCCAAACTGGGCAGAGTTCAGACCGATGCCTCCCCATTTTTAGAAAACCTGACAGTTTACACATCGCTTCACTCACACGTGGCATCCCGTGAGGGCAGGAGGGTGACGATGACGTCAGTCCTTCAGGGAGCTGTGACCTCCGAGGGAGAGCTCTGGCCACTGACGCAGATGGCAGCCTCGGAGGGTACTTGGGGAGTTGCTGGAGTGGGCCCCCTCCCATGTCCAGGCTGCCGCCCATGTGGTCAGTTCCGTCCCTGCTTTCACACATTGTGGCTGCCTCTCCCCCCATCACTGAGTGGGGGAGGGGTGGGGGTCTCTACCTCCAGTCTCTCCCCACCCCTACAATTGTCAGAGGGACTTTCCAACATCCCACGTTTCTCTCTGGCTCCACTGCCCTTGGGGCAAACCCAAATTCCTCAGCTGGCCAGTGGAGGCCCTTTCCTGTCTGACTCCCTTCATGCTCTGGAGCGTCTGGCCTAAGCTGGCCCCGAGCCGGACTCTCCCTTCACCCTGGGCTGTCTCCTACTTGGAATGCTCTTCCCTCTCCCCCTCCCTCTTGGAATTCCTCCTCCCCTGGTCCGGTCCTTGTCCTGGAGCCCAGCCCAGTGCCCAGCCCATAGAAGCTGACTACCGGCCCCCGAGCCGTGGTTTCAAAGCAGGCTGGGATTAATGCCCCCCACCGGCACAGAGTCACCCCAAAGGCTTCCTTCATTCACTCTCCAACATCGACTGCCTGTCTGCCTTGGCTCTGAGCATTTAGCTCATTTTGGGGACCAAATTGTCCTGAAGCAGCAACAGAAATTCCCTGCTAGGCATTACCCCATTAGGGGCGGGGATGAGGGGGTAGTGGGCAGGGCCAGGAGGAGATATTCAGAGGACAAATGGTGTGGTCGAGGCTGGGCATAGGGCCCAGGGTGGTCAAGTATTCCAGATGGACCCCTTGCCAGGAGGTGCCCAGGCCAGGTGGAGGAGATGAGGGGGCTGGGAGGTGACTGAAAATGACTTCCCCGGACACGCTTCACAGAAAGCTCATACCTCGTAGGGAAGGACCTACAGAGCTGGGGGCCCCCGGGACAAGGATGAGACTTTAAGGTTTGCGGACCCCCCTTCCATGTGCTATCTGAGAGGGAGCAGCTCTTATTCTCCCATTTTACAGGTGAGGAAACTGAGGCAGACAGGTGATGTGGCTTGCCCAGGGTCCCACAGCTAGTGAGTGTTTCAGGTTGGATTTGGAGGGGCCCAGCATTCTAGGCTGTGTGGACCCCCTTGTGACACACGGTTCTCACTAGCCGGGGCAGAATGGTCTGCCTGTTGGCCCTTAGTTGTTGAAGAGACATTAGCGCGTGAATCTGATTGAAGCGGGGCAGAACTGTGCAAAGTCATCGCCTCACTCCCTCCTGCAGAGGCAGAGGGTATCCCAAGGACGCCTGGCCCCTCTTGGGTTTGCAGACTGAGCAATGAGGGAGGGCAAGGCCGGCGGCCCTGCGGGACAGCCAGGGAGGGTGAGGTGTGGCAGCCATGTTGGAGGACTTTGGCAAGCTGGCGGACGGGGGAGGAGGACAGACGGGACCGGAGCCGGCAGGGGTGGTGGGTCCTGCTCTGCGGGCAGGGCGCATCTGCCCAGAATCCTGATGGATCTTAGGGCATGTGTGGGGCTTCTCCCAATGCCTTCAGCGAGGAGCCCAGGCCTCAGCGGGGCTTCCCCCCCCCAGTTGTGAGGCCACAGAGGATTCTCCTTTCAGCACCCAGGCCTCCCTCCAGCTCAGCCTCCCCCTTTCCAGCGTGGAGGAGGGTCCCTTCCTAGGCAGGAGCCCCTAGTTGGTATCACCTGACACCCCGGGCCCGAGCCCCCATCTGTGCATACTTGGGCAGATTAGGGGCTGTGCAAGACGTGATCTCTGCCATCAGTCAGCCCCTAAGCGTTCATTAGAAGCACAGTTGGGAAGCACAAGGTGCACTCTCACATTCTCTCTCTCTCTCTCTCTCTCTCTCCCTCCCCTCCCTCTCCCTCCCTCCCTCTCCCACCTCCCTGCTTTCTTTCTGTCTCTCCTCTTCTGTCTCTTCCCTCTCTCTCCCCTCATTCCTCTCTCCCCCCTCTCCTTTCTTTCTCTATCTCTCCTATCTCCTCTCTCTTTCTCCCCTCCCTCCCCCTCTCCTTCTCTCCCTACACACACCTCCCTGCTTTCTTTCTGTCTCTCTGTCTCTTCTCTGTCTCTCTCTCCCCTCTCCTTCCTCTCTCTCTCTCCTCTCCCCCCTCCCTCCTTTCTTTATCTATGTCTCCTGTGTCTTCTCTCTCCCTTTCCTCTCTCTCTGTCTCCTCTCTCTGTCTCTCCTTTCTATCTTCCCTTCTCCCTCTCCCTCTCTCCCTTGCCTGCCACTCACTCACCAGCCTCCCTCATCAAACCCACTGGTATTTGCTCTATTGCAAGGACAAAGACCTAATTAGGTCGTTCTTTCCTCCCCGAAGATTTGGGTCAATTATCAGAAGCAGTAGCTGAAGGGTGGACAGCCCACTTGGTAGTTTGTTGATAATGTAATGAATTAGGCTAAGAGCTGCCTGCCAGCAGGTGTGCCCAGGATGCCACTTCAAGCCCAAGGACCGAGGCTGGGACTGCGGGTGGGCATGTGGGCTAGGCTGGCACAGGATGCTTGGTAAGGGCCAAGGTGGGGGGGAGGTTATATTGTTCTCCCTGTTTGAGGAATGGAGTGGGCCAACCTGTCTCTATCCAGCAGGTGAGCAGCCAAGCCCACATCCCACCCTTAGACAGTAAGGTAGTGCAGCAGACAGAGTGCTAGGCTTCCAGTCACAAAGACCTGAGTTCTAATCCAGATTCAGTCACTAACTAGCTAGCAAGCCTGCCTCAGTTTCCTCAAGTATAAAAGAGGGGGAATAAGAGCATCTCCCTTGCCAGGTAGTTGTGAGGATCATGAGGTCAGCCCAGTGCCCAGCACATAGTAGGGCCCACATTGGTCTCTCATAGAGCTTGCCCAGAGGGGGACTCCCCGCAGTGGGCCCCTTCCTGATCCCCTGAGCCTGGGGCAGCTCTGACACTCCCTTGGCTGGGAGCCTGAGGCCTGGCAGGACTTGGGAAGGGCCCTGGGCACCTGAGCCCCTCCTCTCCAGCTTTGGTTCTCAGGCCTCAAGTCTGTGCTGGCGGCCAGGCTCAGAGCTGTGGGGGGAGCACGGGCAGGCTGCGGAGGGCTCACTGGCCACGCCTTTGCTCTGTGAACCCTCAGGGTGTGAGGGAGCCTTTGCCCATCTTTATGTTCACAGGGTCCTCTGGGAGGCCGGAAGGATCTTGGGGGTCAGCCCAAAGCTGTTCCCTGCCTCTACCTGGGGCGTCTGGGGTCCCAGACAGCTCTGTTGATGGCCCTTCCCCCTCTGTCTGTCCCCCGCAGTATTTCTGGCTGCTGGTCCTGTCCAGAGGCTTGGTGGGCATTGGAGAGGCCAGTTACTCCACCATTGCACCCACTATCATCGGTGACCTCTTCAACAAGAACACACGTACACTCATGCTGTCCATTTTCTACTTTGCTATCCCCCTGGGGAGGTAGGAAGGCACCTACCTGGCTGAGGCAGGCCCTGTGTGGCCCAGCCATGGGGGGAGGGGGCCCTGTGTGCCCCAGCCATGGGGGGGTAGGCCCTGTGTGCCCCCTACCCTGCCATAGGGGGAGGGGGTCCTGAGAACATACAGGAATGCTGAGTTGGGAGGGGCCAGACAGTGACCCCAAACTAAATCACGCTTTTCATTTGCCAAGGATGACAGGCTACTTGGGAGGGGAAGGCCCAACAGAGCTCGACCCAGGGATGGCCACCTGTGTTCACCTTCCTGGGGACAGTGGCTGCCTGTCCCTTTTCTCCCAAAAGGCCCAGAGGAGGATTTGGAAACAGTTTTCCATAGAGAGGGGGCTGGGGGGCATTCTCTTGGGGTTGAAACAGGCCCTTGTTCTCCTTCCTTCCAATGCCCTGTGCGTGCCCGCTCTCTTCACTGTCTCCGTGAGCTTTGGGGGTAGCTGGGACTCCCCTTCTCCTTGGTTGTGGGTTGGCGTCTTCCACCTCCTACCCCACCTCTTGCCTCTCCTCCAACCCCCCCTCCCTTCCCTCCTCCAACCCTCTCCCTTCTCCTCCTCCCACCTCTCCTCTCTCCTCCTCCCAACCTCCTCCTTCTCCTCCTCCCCCTCCTCCTCCTCCTCCAACCCCCTCCTTCCTCCTCCAACCCCCCTCCCTTCTCTCCTCCCACCTCCCTTCTCCCTCCTCCCAACCCCCTCCTCCCTTCTCCCTCCTCCCACCTCCCTCCTCCTTCTCCTTCTCCTAATCCCCTCCTCCCACCTCTCACCCCACCTCTCCCTTTTCAGTGGCCTGGGCTACATCACTGGATCAAGTGTGAAGCAGGTGGCCGGAGACTGGCATTGGGCCCTGAGGGTGAGTGGCGTCCCCTCCCCCCTCTTGTGGCCTGGTTGCCACTTCCACCCTTTCCACCTGTTCCTGTTCATCCTCATGACACTTCTGGGATGCAGCAGTTACATAGCCCGTTTTACAGATGAGGAAACTGAGGCCCAAAGGCCTAGCTGGGGGCAGCTGTCCTGACCCTGGCCCAGGGCTCTCCCTCTGATTCCCCGCTGCAGCTGGGAGAAGAGGCAGAGAGGCTCTGAGTGGGGAGACTCCATTTCCTGGCCCCCGCTCCCAGCCCAGGTCTGTGGCCTGGACTCTAGGAGGGAGTCTGGGTCAGCAGGTGGTTACCTGAAGCCTGTGTGGCTGGGCAGGATCCACGAGGCACCCAGCCCTGGGGAGGGGAGGGCCTGGCCATGGCTGCAGTGGGGCTCACCCCCACCAGGCCACAGGAGCTCAGGAGCTCAATGTGGAAGAAATCCTGGGGTCTTCTGGGACATAAAAGGAAGGAGGTCCCGGGGGCAGAACCAGGAGCAATGGGGTAGGGGTGTGGAGGAGAGAGGTGGCCTCAGGCAGGAGACAGAGCCCAAGGAGGGAGGGGGCCTCTGACTCTCTCCATGGCTACTCCCCCTCCCCACTCCCTTTTCTCTGCTCTAGGGGCTCCCTCCCCACACCCGGGAGCTGGCTGGCCTGGCCACACTAAATCAGCCAGGCCCTCACCACTGTCAAGAAACTCTGGGGCTCAGGGGGCTTCCTGCTTTGAGGAAACAGCACTTTGTTTACAGTTTCCGCTCTGAGGGGGCCTGGGACACTGGCCTTCCTGCAATTCTAACCTCCCAGGACCTTGGCTGGCCCCTTTGCCCCCTTCCCACACACAGGCTGGGGTGGGGCGGGGACCTCAGAGCCCAAACCCCGGCCCTGGCCCAGTCTCCCAGCAGCCGCTGGGCAGCTGGCATCTCTCCTAAGATGGGTCTGAGGATGAATGAAGGAAGGGAACCCTGGAGCCTCTGCCCAGCATGCCCCTCATGTCCCCCCACCACAGGTGTCTCCTGTCATGGGGATGATCACCGGAACACTCATCCTTCTCTTCGTCCCGGCTGCGAGGAGGGGGCACGTGGAGCAGCTTGGGGGGCAGCTGAAGGCCCACACCTCCTGGCTCCGGGACATGAGAGCACTGATCCGGAAGTAAGACGGCTGCATCTCCATGCCCCCTTCCCATAGTGTGCGCTGCCACTGGGGCCTCTGTGTGGCCCAGAGAGGCACAGTCCTCCTGGGGAACTGCCTGTGGGGGTGCACTTGATTCTGGCCCCTCCTAGCCAGACCCATCATTGCCCCCTTCATCCTTTATGGCCTTAGAGAAGGGAAAATGGTTTGTCCCCACCCCTCAGTATCCCTTCTCCTCCCCAGGGAGGGTAGGAGCCACCCCGGCGGCAGCCTCGGAACCCCACTTAGCCAGAGAAGCTTCACTTCCTTAAAAAGGGGGAGCTCTGCTTGGGGAAGGGGACCCTGCCCATCCCTCACTGCCTGCCAGTGCTAGCCCTCTCTCCCCTGTGCCTCTGGTCCCCCCTGCCCCCACCATGGGTCTGGACCCAGAGGCCTCCTGCTAACAGATGTGCCTCTGGCTACACTGACCCCATCCCGACCCAAAGGTGTGGACCCTCCTGTCTGGAGCTTGGGAATCTCCATGTCCAAGTCCCCCAGGGATGCCCACCTGATCTCGTGTGACCTCAAGCCTTCCCTCCTCACACCTTGGCCTTCAGGGTTAGGCAGGGAGACCTCTTTGAAAAGGGATGATGGAGAGTCAGGAGGATCTGGGTTCAAATGCAGCCTCAGACACTTAGCTGTGTGAGCCTGGGCAAGTCACTGAACCCCGATTGCCCCCAGAGAGGAGGGGCAGATCTAGAAAGAGCTCTGAATTCGAAGGGGATGCCAAAGGTGCTCCTAGTGTAGACATGCTAGACATGTAGACATGTTGGCTCATCAGGCAGGCCCGCTGCCCTGACCCTGGGTGCAGGCCCTGCTCTGCGTGGGGAGAGAGTGCCAAGAGGTGACCTCTCTCCCTACCCTGCCCAGTCGCAGCTACATCTTCTCCTCGCTGGCCACCTCTGCCGTCTCCTTTGCCACCGGAGCCCTAGGCATGTGGATCCCCCTGTACTTACACCGGGCCCAGGTTGTGCAGAAGACCACAGAGACCTGCACTAGCCCACCCTGTGAGACCCGGGACAGGTGAGGCCTAAGGGCCAGAGGGAGGGTCCCAGCAGCCCCTGCAGGGCTCGGAGCAGGCCCTGCCCCTTGCCCCAATCCCCACTCCCTCCTCCGCCACCTGCTCTCCTCCGCCAGGGGCCTTGGAGCTCCCCCCCAGGCCTCAGGGCATCCTCTATTTCCTCAGCCTCATCTTTGGGGCCATCACGTGCTTCACCGGCTTCCTGGGGGTGATCACGGGGGCTGGAGCCACCAAATGGTGCCGCCTGAAGACGCAGCGGGCGGACCCCCTGGTGTGCGCGGTGGGCATGCTGGGGTCAGCCATCTTCATCTGTCTCATCTTTGTGGCAGCCAAGACCAGCATCCTGGGCGCCTACGTAAGTGCCTGCGGAGTGGGGGTAGGGTGGGGTGGGGATGGGGGAAGTGTGCACACCTGGCCGTCTGTGGTCAGCACCATGGACAGCGAGCTCTCTGGTCCCGGGAGGGAGGTCTGATTCTGTCTGGGGATCCTGCTTGTCCTCCTAGCTGTGTGACTGCCCCTTCTCGGTCTGGGGCTGTGTCCCCCAGGCCCTCTTCTCTTCTCCCTCTGTCGTGTTTCACTCGGTGTCATCAGCTCCCATGGGTTCCCCAATCTCTCTAGCCTGCCCAAGCCTCTCCTTTCGACCTCTGGTCTTGCCTCTGCCTTTCTGACCTCTCCACGCTTCCAAACCTCACTAATTCTCTTCCTCCACTCCCTATCCTTCCCCACTATCAAGGATGCCAAGGTCCTCCCAGACCCTGCCAAGTCTTCACAACATCTCTCTTATACATTGCCCCCTTCCTCTGATGCTGTCCCCACCATGGTGCAAACCCTCATCACTTCATGCCTGAACTATGGCAGTAGCTGCTGGGCAAGGGGTGCTGCCTGTCCCAAGTCTCCCCCCACTCCCATCCATCCTCCATTCAGCCACCGAAGGGATTTTCCTAGTGTGGGTCTGACCATGTCTCTCTACTCATTAAACACCAGGGGCTCCCTATCATCTCCAGGATCAAATATAAAATCACGTTTAGCTTTTAAAGTCCTTCATAACCCCCAACCTTTTCAGTCCACTTATACCTTGCACCCCTCCCACATATTCAGTGACCCAGTGACTTTGGCCTCCTGGCTGTTCCATAAACAAGACCCTCCATCTCCAGACTCTGGCTAGGCCCCCTGCCTGGTATGCTTTCCCTCCTCACCTTCACCTCCTGGCTTCCTTGGCCCTCCTCAGGTCCCAGCTAAAATCTCCCCCTCTGCAAAAAGCCTTTCTCCACCCCCACTCCCTTGACATCAGTGCTTTCCTTCTGATCACCTCTAAATCATCCTGGCTAAAGTGTTCTGCCTGTGGCTGGGAGCTCCTTGCAGGCACAGAGGTGTCTACCTTTCTTACCTCAGCACAGCAGCTCATGTATAGTAGGCATTTTACAAAGTCTGCTGACTTGCAGACTCCTCCTGGAGCACAAATCCTTTGCAGACCCTCCTTCCAGCCATCTCCTCCTTACTGCCTCGAAGGCCTTTCTCAGACCTCCCTCGCCCCACCCCCCAAGCTCTCTCTGCTCCAGGGGCTTCTTGGGGGTGATGTAGCTTTCTCTGGGCCCTCTCGGCTTGTGGGGCATCACCCACAGAGGTGCCCCCAAGGCCGTCCCAGACACGCTTCTCTCTTGCATGGCGGCCTCACCAGCTCCTTGGGGTCTCATCAGCAGCAGGGGTCTCTGCAGATGACCCCCAGACCCAAAGAGGCCACCTTCTTTGCCTCCTCCATCATCTTCCAGGCTGCAAGTTTGTTAGGTGGTGGGAGCTTCCTCACCATCCCTGGCCCCAGCCTCTCTCACACCCAATCACATTCAGGCCTTTGCCATCTCATACCTGGACTATTCCAATGGCCTGCAATGTGTCTTTTCCTACATCCATCCATCCATCCTTCACGTGCCTACCAAAGGCCTTTCCTGAAGCACAGGGGTGGCCACGCCAGGCACATGTCTTCCTCTTCTAATCCCTTCACAACCTGGCCCCTAATTGCACGTGGATCCCCTCCCTGCAGTCCATGGGCTAGCCAAACTGGCCTTTCTTCTGTTTCTCAAGTATGGCAATCCCTCTTATTGCCACACCTTTGCACTGGGCATTCCCCCATGCCTGGAATGCACTCCCTCCTCCCCTCCATCTCACTTCCTTACAAATTCAGCTTGAGTGCCATGGCCTGATCCACCAGATAGCTAAAGCCTCCCTCTTCCCCCACCGGCCTCCCACTTAACTGCCTTATATTTACATTCTGTTCCTGCGCAGACATGTATTGTATGTTTGTATACACTTATATTTACACACGTGGCCATGTTGTCTGATTGTAAGCTCCATGAGAGCAAGGCTGGTATCTTTCCTTCTCTCTCTTCCTTCCTTCTTTTCTTCCTTTTCTTCTTTCCTCCCTCCCTTCCTTTCATTTCTTGTCTTCCTTTCTCTTTTTATCCCAGAACCTTGGACAGTGCCTGGCACTTGGTAGGTGCTTGGTGACTGAGTATTGGACCATGTCTCTAAGTCTTCAAACAACCCCAGTTCATGAATTCAAGTCCCTTCCCCATTCTCTTCTCTCCTCTGGACACCCCCCAACATATCATTACTTTTCCTTAAATATGGCAGCCAGAGCTGGCCACCACCTCCCAGTGTAGTGTGATGCAAGCAGAGGAAAGGATGTTTCCCTCTTCCTGGGGACTCTGCCCCACTTCCTTCAGCCCAAGGCCTCTTTAGCTTTCGCAGGGACCACATGATGTGGCTGAAGCAGCAGGGTGACCTGGCTGTTCCTTCAGGCCCCCAGGTCCTTTTCAGATACATTGTAGCTCAGCACTGCCTGCCTCCTTCTTGGGCTTGTGAAGTCGATTGTTGGAACTCCAGTATGAGACTTGACAGGAATCCCTATTGAGTTATGACATTTTTCCTGGATGTTGTTCCCATATCTGTCCTTGATAAGGACAGGTGCTTTGTGGCCACCCAGTCTTCCTGCAATGGTTTGACAGGGCCAGGCAGAGAGGATCCTTATATTCCATCATCAAGACAGAAAAAGTCTGGGTAGGTGACTAACTAGACCTCCCCCTCCCCTTGACCTTTTGCCTGCTCCCCCAGGTCACTTGCCCTCTTTATACTGAGGGGGTTGGGCTATCTCAGTAACCTCCAAGGTCCCTCCCAAGCCCCAAATCTCATGGCAAGAGCTCCTTCCTCTGGGCATCGTCGATAGTGTCCTCATGGTCGTGGCTTCAGGGTCTTTCAGAGTTCTGGGAAGTTGTCTGTCTTGGCCTGGAGACCTCAACAAATTTAGAGCGAATCAGTCGGTCCTCACCAGGCTTGGGCTCACTCTCCCTTTGGGGAATGTGTCCTCTCTTCTCCCACCTGATGCAGGAGATGGGAGCAGAGTTAGGTAGTCCTGCTCCCTGTCTCTATTCACCCAAGGCTACCTTCCTAAGCTCCTGCTGGCCCCAGACTTAGCTTTTCAAGGTCATGCTGGGCGTTGGCTTCCTGATCCTGTTCTGACTGGCATTTTTACAAAAGGTCTTTGGCTCACACCCTTCCTTTCATCTTTTATACACATCATTTACATGTCTGAGTTCACTAGAGAGCCCCCTTTGCAGCCACATGGAGTCTTGAGATGCTTCCTCCCTTTCTTCTTCATTGAAACTGTTCACAATTGTGTAGTTGAAGGTTCACCGTTCATCTCAGGTAGAATGGAGTCCGACTCTTCTTTTCTCTGAAATGGTGAGACTCTGCCTTCCTGATGTCCTGCAGTCCTTGTCTGCCTGTGCTGGCCTCTGGGTTTGCTCCTTCACCTTTAGTGACCCTCAAGGCTTCTGCTCCTGCTGAGGCGCCTGCCAGGACCTGATTGGTCAGAATTAAGTTCAGAGCAGCAAGAGTCATGAGGGGCCCCTCTGCCCCCTGAGAGATGAAGGCATGGCTTTAGGGTTGGCAGGAGGAACAGAAGTCCTTGTCCAAGCCTTGGGCATGCCTAGGACCACTGTATCCTGGTCAATTCGCTCAGTCTCTCATGCCCACTGGACATGCGGCACTGTGTGCTGGGCCCCCTCCTCCCGGGGTGAGCACTTGGCTGGGGGCACCCACAGCATGTCCACAGCAACATTTGGGCATGACCAGGGCTCTGCCATGCTTGAATGAGGCACACCCTTCCTGGGCACCATCCTCATCCCGCACGTGGCTTCAACGCCTCTGGGCCTGTGAGAGCCTGTCTTCCACTTTGCTGTGAGATTTCAGGTTCACCTCCTCTCACACTGTGGGCTGTGGAGCCCCACGGCCACAGAAAGTGGCTGTTGCTCCTCTCGCCCCTGTACTTCCTTCTGAGAATTTGTGGGGAGGGGCTTCCTCTGCTGGTGTGATGCTGACCCACCTGCCCTCCTCCACAGCCGCAGGTTTTAGGGCTCTCTGAGCATCTTCCTTCCCCCCCCATTTCCAGTGTATTTCTATGAGAACATCTTTAGTACCCCAATGGCCTTTCCCGGACCTCAGTCACCAGATATGTTCCCCTCCAAGATCTCTTTCCTCCCTCCCTTCTTTCCCTCCTCCCTTTCCCCCTCTTTCCTTCATTCACTCCTTCCTTCCTTTCTTTCCTCTCTCCCTCCCTCACCCTTCCCTGCTTCCTTCCTCTCTTCATTCCCACCTAACTCTGCCAAAGGCAGGTTTGGCCAGTCTCGCTGGGCTCATCGTCATGTTCCCATACCACCCTCCTCACTGGCACTGTGGCAGCAGGTGAAACTTCTTAGAGCAGGAGCAGATAATCATCATTGTTGGGGCAAACCCCAGGCAGTGCCCTTTGACTTTTGGCTTGGACTAACGGGGATTGGGGGGGGGGTGGGGGTGGTAAATGGTCAGAAGCAGCCCTTGGCTGGCTGCCTCCCATTGAAGCCCTGCCCTGCGCAGTGGCCACTCCCTCTAATCAACACATTCCTGAGTGTGGGTGGAGACATGTCCACTCTTCATCCTCTGGACCCAGGTCAGTCAGTGGCTTGACGTGTGGAATGAGCCAAAAGACACCATCTGGGTGCCCAGGCTGGGGCCAGGTCTCTGAGGAGAAGGTCAAGGGTGGTGTCTTTCCTTGTTCAGAGACCCAGCCTGGGCGTCAGGAGGTTGGGTCCCACTGGCAGCGAGACCACTGCCTGGGCATGACGTCAGCCTCTTTCTTTCCCCCTCTGAGCCTCCTGTGAAGGGGGGTAACGTCCCTGCCCTGCTGTCTTCCCAGGGCCCTTGGCAGGAGCTGTGGGGGGCATTTGGCCAGTCCACGTGGGCTGTGGGGAGAGGGCTAGGAGGGCCCAGGCTGAGCCTGCAGGCTTGGGGAGCTTTGGGATGCCTTTGACCTCTCCCAGAGTTCTCGAGGGCAGTTCTGTGCTTGGCAGAAAAGGGGTGAGGTGGGTAAGGGGGCAATAAGGCCAGCAAGAGAAAGACTGATATGCCATGTGACCTCGGCCACGTGATGTTCGGCCCGGAAGGGAAGGACTGCAGTGGACTAAGCTGGGACCGGCCCAAGCCGACCCCGGCCCTGAGACCCCAGCAGCTCAGACAGCCCTGCAGGAGGAGAGCCACCCAGCCATCATGACCCAGCTCCAGCGGGTGGTCAGCTCTCTGTCACATCGGCCAACACGCATGTGGCATGTGTTGTCCCCAGTCCTCGTGACCGGCCCTGCCGGTGTGACCATCTAAGAGCCTGGGCTCCCAAAGCTGTGTGGGACTGCTCAGGGCCTGTGGTGACCTTGCGACAGGCGGAGGAGTGAGGTCCCCACCAGCAGGCAGGCTAACGGCCGTCTCCCACCTCTCTCCCTCCCCGGTTTTGCTCTCCTAGATTTGCATCTTCATTGGTGAGACCTTGCTTTTCTCCAACTGGGCCATCACAGCAGACATCCTGATGGTGAGCGACCCAAGGCTGGCCGGGACCCTGCCTCTGTCACTGGTGGGCCTGGCTAGAGGCGGGCTTCTTCCAAAGCCATGGGAGCTGTGGGAAATGGGAGAGCTCAGTTTTCTGGAAGGAAGTTGGTTTGGCTGTGTGTATGTAGACTGGATTGGAGAGGGAAGAGCGTTGGGGAGGGGAGGCCAGGGAGAAAGGAACAGACGTGCTAGCGGCTGGCCAGGGACGCTGGCGGCTCATGGGGACCATGGAGCCATGAGAGCAGAGAGAGGACCTCCCTGTGTGATGAGGCCCATCACCTGTCTGGGCTAGGTTTCTGTGCCCTCGACGCCCTCAAGGCTCCATCGCTGTGACTGTCTCCGTGACTGTCAGAGCCCGGTGGGGGATGGGGACAGGGAAGCGCCAGCTGAGTGTCTGTGTTGTTGACGGCTCTGTCAAAGACTGTTTACAGGGAGGTCAGCAACAGACACCGGCCTTGGACCAGCTGGGGCCGACACAGCCACCCAGACAAAGCCGCTCAGTCCCAGAGAGGCTGCCTGGGTCAGTGCAGGGTCAGTTGGCCAGTCACAGATGAGTTGGGGCCTGGAGAGAGGGGAGAAAGGCATGGCTGACTGTGCTGAGGTCTGTGTGGGGGTCCGGGCTGGCACTGGCCTAAGGGGCCATGCCCATTGGTACAATGGGTGCCAGCACCCATGGGAGTTGGAGGGACCGCCTAACTGGCCCCCATATCCTGAGGCTCCCCACCTAGTCCCCTTGTCTTCCTTCTTTGCCCCAGAGCGGGCACCTGGTGCCAAGCTTAGGGGCTCTGGGGCATCATGTTGAGGAGAAGGAGGAAAGTGCTTAGGAGGAGGACCAGCTTTGTCTCTGCAGAGGTGGCACACACATAAGCCCTCCTTCGAGGTTTGGGGTTAGGAGGCCGGGTCTGGCTGCAGGCCTGCTGGGGGGGGGGGCAGGAATGTGCCCGGCCCCTGCTCCCCTGGCACAGGGGAGAGACACAAGATGGCACAGGGTGTTTCTGCTGCTGCTGAGCCAGATTCTGTTGTAGGGAGGGCAAGCTGGCTGGCCAGGCTGGGAGATGTTGGGGGAAGTGTAGGCCCTGGCATCGCTGGCCCCAAAGGCTTGGCCCATGGAGGAATGTAGGTGTGGCTGAAGAAGGCTCTAGGGATGGGGAGATTAGGGATGGGGGCAGGGAGGAGGGCAGTGGGGACAATGGGAGGAAGGAAGTGTCAGGGTTTGGTGCATTCCTGGGGAGGGGGCAGCTTCCTGCCAGGCTGTCTTTTCCATCAACTCAGCCTGTCCATCCCCCCCGCTCCTCCCTCCCTGGGGTCCCCCCATCCTAACGCTCTGGGCCAGGGAAGGAGGGGCCAGTGGGGTGAGGGGCCCATGGTCTGACTGGAGAAAGCATCCCAGATGAGGTCCTCGGGGCTCCCAGCTCCAAAGGTGCCCTGGCCTCTTCACTCCCCTCTGCTTCCCTGAGCTGCCTCCCTGGAGCCTCCACTGCGAGCTGCTGCCCGGGCAGACCACCCACTCTGCAGGAGGCTGCTCCCACAGAGCCCAGCTTGACTTAGCAGGCTCCCAGGTTCCCAGAAAGCCTTGTCCATATTCTCCTCATCAGTCACTGGCCGGCCCCACCCCAGGGACTCCACCCCACAAGGCTTTCCATGGAAAGGGGAAAGTCCATCTGGGTCTCATCCCTTTCCAGTTTGAAGGTCCTCAGGGGCATGAGCCAGGCTTCCTCTGCCTACATCCAGGCCCATGGGGCCTGCAGAGAAGGAGATGCCGTGGCCTCAGCCAGGGCCCTCTGGCACTGGAGGGGCGCCTCTCAGGGAGGCCAAGCTGCCCTCCCCCTCCCACCCCCCACCGTAGACACTCAGAAAGCAAAGCAAGGAGAGGGGAGGGGTCGTGGGGCACAGGCAGGTGGTGGCTGGGGGAGGGATTGAGGCACCTCTGACTTTGGGGGAGGCGGGACCCAGAAGCCTGAGGGGTGCTGGCTGACCTGGCCTCCCTGCCTCCCCGCAGTACGTGGTCATCCCCACTCGCCGAGCGACTGCCGTGGCTCTCCAGAGTTTCACCTCTCACCTGCTGGGAGATGCGGGCAGTCCGTATCTCGTTGGCTTCGTGAGTACCACGCACAGGAGCTGGGGCCAAGGGCACATCCCGGGGAGCCTGCTTCCCTGACCCAGGCCCAGGACCTGAGCACACCTGAGGGTGGGTGCTGAGGGCAGGGGGCCACACAGGGCGCAAAGCTCTCCTGTCTGCTCAGTGCCCTGGCTCCTTTGTCCGGCTTCCATCCCTGAGAGGTGCCTGTAGTGGTGGTGGGTGGGGAGCTTCCCTAGATGGGGCCAGTGCTCAGGGGGATGCGGCCCAGAAGGGTGTGGCTGCTGGGACCAGACCATGGAGGTGGGAGACCCAGGATGCTGGACAGTGCTGAGGAGGGCAGGCAGTCAGATAGACTCAGGGAGGCAGCAGGGGTGTGTGTGTGTGTGTGTGTGTGTGTGTGTGTGTGTGTGTGTGTGTGTGTGTGTGTGAGAGAGAGAGAGAGATAGCCTCAAGGCACTGTGGATACTTTTGGGGGGAGGGTCCCAGAGAAGGCCTCTGCTCTTTGTGTGGGGAGGGCAGCCTGAATGGGCCCCAGCCCTGCAGGAATGAGGAGATAAGCCCCACTCCCAGCCTCTCAAGCAGGACAAGACCTGGGGAAGGGGCTGCTTGGGAGGCTGGGAGGGAGAAGGGTAGTGGCCAGGCTGCTGGATGGAGGTGCTGAGCCTCCTTCCCCCTCCCCTCCTCTGCAGATCTCTGACCTGATCCGACAGAGCACCCGGGAGTCCCCGCTCTGGGAGTTCCTCGGCCTGGGCTATGCTCTCATGCTCTGCCCCTTCGTGGTGGTCCTGGGGGGAATGTTCTTTCTTGCCACCGCCCTCTTCTTCCTCAGCGACCGGGCCAAGGCCGAGCAGCAGTAAGTGGCTGGGGCCAGGGGCAGGGATGGAATGCGGGATGGCCTGGGGGTGGGGCTCTGGGCTCAGCCCAGGGAGCCTCCCCACCCTGCCACCCTGCTGGGCAGCCAGGCTCCAGGCCAGGCCACTGCCCCGTTTCCAGGCATCGAACTCCACATGGTCTCTAGACTGGAGCCCTTTCCCCAGGGCTTTCAAGGACTAGGCCCAGAGGCCCCTTTGTGGGTGGGCCAAGCCTTTGCCAGAGCTCCTTGGCAGCACACAGTGGGCGGACAGGAGCTGTGTCCACCCTCAGCCTCCTGGGGCTGCAGGAACGTGGCCATCCCTACTTGCCCTCATCCCACTGTCCATGCCAAGGACGACCACTGCGCAAAGGGCTGCAAGGAAGCAGATGGAGTGGACAGGGACGCCATGAGGGAACCAGGAGCCAGACTTGGGCAGTCCGAGGGTCTGCTAGTCAATATTAGCCTGTTAGCCCAAGGTAGTCAGTCAGTGGCAGGTACACCGTGTTCCTCAGGCATCCTCTTCCCAGAAGCCCCCAGGGCCCAGCCCACTGCCACCCCAATTGTGTTTTCCAGCCTGATGGGCACATGGGCATCTTCTCTGAATCGTTCCTGTGGCATGGTGCTGCCTGGGTTCAAGACCGTCAGGCACTTGCAGGATGAAGGAAAAGTCATCTTTATTTGTCTGGCCAGTGAGAGTTGGGGAGGAGGGAGGAGCCTGCCAAGGACAGGCCTCGGTTTCCCCAGTTATAAAACAATCAGATGAGTCTGTCTCCAAGGTTGTTTTGAGCTCTGAAGATCTGGGAATCCAGGGAGGGAAGAATCAGTTGGTTTCCTGGACAGGAATGGTGTTCCTATGGAAATGGCCAAGGAGGAGAGAGACCCTGCCATAGTGGTCGGGCTGGGCCTCAGGGCTCAGCAGTGGTCCTTCCAACCAGCAGCCCACAGACCCTGGGCACTCCATCAACGCTCAGAGCAGGCAGGGACTCTCCCATGCATGAAGGGCAATGAATGCCAGAGGCAGGGAAGCAAGCCTCCTTAGCACAAGGGGACCCGCTAGACATGGACAGGCTGGCAGGCTCCTCTGCTCCACTTGGTGCCATGAGTGTTGGCAAATGCTTCTACTGTGCCCAGCGCCGGGTTCTGTCTGGGAGCCACCTGTTGGCTCTAGGAGCTCATCCTTGGAGCCACTGAGACCAGGGCATGGGCTGGGGCTGGTTCCTGGTGTATGTTAGCTGTGATCCTCGGGCTCCATGAAGCACCCGGGCTCCTCAGGCCCCAGCTGGGCCATCTGTCGGTGCCAGGCAGAGTGGACAACAGAGGAGGATGGTTGTCTGAGGCAGATGGGAGCCTTGCCAGCCATGACAAGGGACTCAAAAAGCCAGCAGAGAGAGGCAGCTGTGGAGGGCTCAGAAAGCCAACGGAAAAGTAGGCAGCACTTGTGGATTCTTGAACAGGCGAGGGACATCACTTGGGGAGAGCAAGTTGTGCGGGGGAGGGATCAGAGTGGGGAGACACCTAATGACAGCCAGTGTTTCTGGAGCACTTTCTTAAAGGGTTTGCAAAGTGCTTGACAGGATCTCAGCTGAGCCTCTCCACAGCCTGGGAGTGGGGTGCAGATGAGGAAACTGAGGTAGACCAAGGAGCAGGGACTTGCCCAGGGTCACACAGCTAGGAAAGTGTCTGAGGTAGGACTCCTGGTCTAGCCAGGGCTCTGTCCTCTGTTGGTCCCAGGAGAACTGAGGGCCTGAAGCAGGAGGGGACCAAAGGGGCCATAGACCAGAGATATCTCAGAGACACAAATGGGGAGGGGGAGGGGGAGTTAAGGGGGCCTGGCAGAGGCCTGAGAAGAGGCATTTTGGGAGCCGTGGAGGAAATGGGGCCATAGGGTGCAGACAGCTCTGGGGCGAAGGCTGGAAAGGGAGGGAGGGTCTCTCAAAGGGCCTTCTCTAGAGCAGAAGGGAGACTGCCCTTGCTTGTGAGGGGCAAAGACATCTGGGGGGAAGGAGGTGGGGGGAGGGCTGCAGGCCTGGAGAGCAGGGGGCCCAACATGAAGAGACTTCTGTTCAGGGCCTGGGCAGAGAGGGACGGCAGCCACACCCAGGCGTGCCCTGGCTGGTGCAGACACACAGACACACCGGAGCTGGCCCAGGGTTTTTGAGGGCCCTGAGTGCGACAGGGACTTTTCTGGAGTCACCCCTGGGGGGATGAGGCATACTGGACCTTTCTCGCCCTCACACCGGAGAGGGCTAGGGCAGGTCTTGGTGGCCTGGGCTTGCAGAGAAGCCCCCAACCTGACTCCAGAGCAGGTTGGGGGTGGTACAGGGCTCAGGAGCCAGCCAGGGCCCAGGGCGAGGGCCCCCCTCATCCTCTGCTCTTGGTCATTCCCCCTGCAGGGGCCCTCGGGAGTTAGCAAGCTGAGTGTGGGACGGGGCCACCTCCGGCCAGCCGGTGGTGGTGTCCAGGTAAAGGGCAGCTTTGCTCCTCGGGGGGGCTGCTTGGCGTCCTTGGGTTCCGCCTCCCCGCCGCTGACCTGGGCCCTGCTGGGGCTGCCCTGGCACCTGCCGCCCCCTGCACCGGGATGGGTTAGTTAGGAGCTATTCCCAAGGCCAGCCAGGAGGGGTGAGTAGGCATGGCACTGCCAAGAGGCATGGGGCAGCTTGCTTCCTGCGCCCCACCTTCCCAGGCAGGACGGGGCAGGGCTGGGGCTGCGGCTTCGGCTGGCATGCTGGACACAAGAAGGGGAAGGCTGGATCCCTGCACGAAAGGCCTTTCCCCTCCATCTGGGGAGATGGTGGTGGGGCAGCCTGGTGCAGGGTAAGTCTTTGGGACCTGGAGTGTCATCCCCCTCTCTGAGTCTGCTTCTCCATCTGTAAAATGGGCACAATAACACTCTGACCAGTTGCCCCTTGAGGCTGTGTGGGTTTGACATCACCCATTAATTACGGTGGATGTTTGTGTGTTGGGTGGGGAGGGCAGGACACCCGAGGTGCTGAGGAAGGCTGCAGCCGTCCAGGCTGGCGGTGTCTACTCCCCCACAGCCCTTCACTGCTGTCTGTCTCCCTTCTTCTCTCCCTTTATCTCCCCTCCCTCTCCCCTTTCTCTCTGACCCTTCCACAATGTCCTGCCTCCTTCCAATGTCCCCCCACCCCCATGTCCTTTGCTCAGGGCGGGAGGGGGGGCCTCTGGTTTGACTCCTAACATGCTTCTCTGTTCCTCAGCCTTGATCCCAGACCTTCCCATCTCAGTTGCTCCCAGAAAGGAGTTCTCAGTTCCCCTCATCTGCCTCCTTCACCCGGCCCTCAGTGACCTCCTTCCTTCCACCCCGCTCCCTCCATGCAGCTCAGTCTCCCTGGCCTGGCTGCCCAGACACAGCACAGAGACACAGGGAAAACCATGGGAATGTGGCAGGGGGGCTCCCAAACTGGCCCTATGAAGCCCCGGTCAGACTGAGTGCCAGACGAGCCTGCGGGGTGGCCTCTGTCCACTTCCAAGCCCTCTGGGCTCTGTGAGGGCCCCCTGCACCTGCCCCCCACCCTGGGGCCAAGCCCGGCAGCGCCCGGTCCATCCATCCTGAGCCTTCTCCCCTGTAGGCTCAGGTGCCACCCGCAGCCCCTGATTCTGGCTCTGGGCTCAGGGCCAGATGAAGTCACAGGCCCAGATTCTGAGCCGGGCGGAAGTTCGGTCACTGAGTCCAATGCCCTCATTTTAGGGATGAGGAAACCGAGGCCTGCAGTGAAGCAAAGGCCCAGGGTCACTCAGTGACACAGTGACAACAGGACCCTGACCCCCAATTCAGAGCTCTTTAGCCTGTGCCCGAGGTGCTGCCAAGCTGGGCTCAAAGACCCCGGGCCCTCCTCTCTCTCTCTGTATGTGTGCAGGTGTGAGTGTGTGTGTGCACACTGTGTGTACGTGGGGGGTCCCAGGGCTTGCTGCCCTGGCCCCCTGACACCCCCCTCTTCTCCAGGGTGAATCAGCTGATGATGCCCCCAGCGTCTGTGAAAGTCTGAACGAGGTAAGTAGGGGCATCCTTGGGGGGTCTCCCAGGTGGGACTCTCATAAGGGTTGATGCTCAGGGTCACGACTGCTAGTTGATAGAGTGCTGGGCCTGGAGCCAGAAGGATCTGAGTTAAAATCCTGCCTCAGACACTGGGCAAGTCACATGTTAAGAGACGCCGTGTGCTAAGCGCTTTATAAATATGCTCTCAGTTGACCTCACAACAACCAGGAAAGCAGATCCCTATTTTACAGTTGAGGTAACTGAGGCCAACAGGAGTCAAATGACTTCTTTCCCCTGGAATTCGGTCAGATCCTAGATGCAGAGCCGGAAGGCCCAGCACAGCCAGGCTGGTTTTGAGCTGGCCTTGACTGGAGGGCAGTGGGTCTTCCTGGGGGTGTCTGGGGTCCTCTCCCCCCATCCCAGCCTCTCCCGTGTGCCCAGCCTGTGCTTGGTACCAAGACAGAAAGGAGCCTGGCCTTGCCCTCAGGGGGCTTCTGTTCTCCCAGGCTGCTTAGCCGTCTCTCCCCTAGTTTCTGGTGGCCAGCCCCTTCTCTCAACATGAAACCTGCAGAGGTGGGTTTTACTCAAGAAGCCTGAACAGGGCCCTGCAGACCCCCACAGTGGTGCAAGAACAAAGCAGGGTTTGGGGCAGGGGGGCCAGAGAGAGGCCTGGAGCTGGAGGTGACCCAGGAGAACCTTCCCCTCCAGATGAGGATGCCTGGGCCCAGTGAGGCAGCAATTTGCGCAAACTCACACAGGGGGCAGTGCCAGAAGTGGGGCTTGAGCCCAAGTCCTTGGGCTCTGGAGGGACTTCTCCTCCTGGGAGGCCAGAGCCCCTCCTGCCTCCTTCCATCAGCCCCCGGCAGTGATGGCAGCAGCTCACAGGAACGGTTCAGGGATCTCTGCCTTTCCTCATTGCTGTCCAAATGCAGGCCCACCCAGCAAACGGCCTGACCTGGGGGTTGTCGCCAGACCGTAGGCCCTGCGGGACAGCCCAGCCTCTCTCCCTTGTCCAGCATCCTCCATCCTGGACACCGTGAGGCTGGCGACTCCAGCTCACAATCTGCTGAGAAGCAAGGGGACGGGCGTCCTCCCTGAGCTCGCGGCAAAGCCTTGGCCTTCTTGGGCCAAGACACATCCCTCCTGGGCACCCCCTGAGAGGAGGTCCTGCTTTCTGAGAACCACAGCCTCATCCCCCACCTTCCTCCCTTCCCTCTCTCCAGGTGTCCTGGGAGCAAGAAATGATGAGCAGTCTGGGCCCTGGAGCAGCCACCGTGGCCCTGCCCTGTCCAAAAAAGGAGATGGAGTGGTTTCAGTGGGCAGGGCAGGGAGCCAGGATCAAGCCTACTTTGGTCTAAGGCCCCCGGCCCCCTGCCTGCGACCCAAAGCCAAAGGCAGGAAGGCAGTTGGGAAGAGAAACAGGCCACCGGGACTCAGCCATGCAGGGCAGTGTGATGGGTACAGGACAGAGTGACCTGTGGCTCTGGGCCACAGACACGTTGGCCAAGACATTCAGAGATGGGATGCTTTCAGAGGAAGCCCCCCCACCCCCAGCCCAGGCCTTTGCTGTGTGGCAGGAGATGCCGCTGACAGAGACAAACGGAGGGGTCCCCCCACGGACACACACTTCACGTGCTACATAGGGCCGTGTATGAATGTGTGTACATGGCCAATAGGTGCAGCGCTGTCTTTCCAAAGAAGCTGTCCTGGGACCCAGCCCAGCTGACTGGGCCAGCCTGGCTCCACGGCTGCTGACCCCCAGCCCCTGGCAGTCCCAGGAAGCTGCTATCCCCCGGGTCCACGTGGATGACTTCATTTTCTAGTGTTTCCAAAGGAGAGGGTCAGTGGTCTCGGCCCGCTGGACCAGGAGGAGCTGGTGGGGATGAAAGGGCCGAATCTTGAGCTGCTCCAGGCTTCTGGGATCCTCCCTGCCCCTCCCCCATCCCCGCTTCATCTCCCTTGCATCTTAGCCTGGATCTGATGGACCTCATGGGATCTCCTCTCACGTCCCAGTTTTAGGGAGGTGTAAATGGAGGCCAGTGTTGGGAAGCCACCTTGTCTGATGTCCCTCGGCCGGCTGGTGCCGGCTCCGAGACCAGGACTGGATCTCCTGCTTGTGAAGTAGGGCAGCATGCCCGGTGCTCTTCAGGGAAGGGGGTGTGTGTGTCACATCTGCCACTTAGTAGGAGCAAGGTCGGGGGCTTGAGGCTGGTAGCAGGCGGCTGTCACTGGGGAGGAGCTGATGGAAGCTGCCCCCCCGCCCATGGGGCCAAGGCCATCCCCCACACCCCCATGCCTACCTTCGAGACGGCAAACCGTCAGGCGGGCAAGGACCGTGTGCCTCGAGCCTGGCCGGGGGTCCTGCCCTGCTTTGGGAGGACCTCCTCTCTCCCCCCACGCCGTTTCCTGGCAGAGGAATTTCCCAAATTTCAGTCACTTTCGGGAACTGAAGCTGAGCTTTGCCAGGGGGTCAGGGTCCCTTCCTGGGGAGGGGCTGGCAGGAAGTTTAGCCTGGTCTCCAATGCCCCAGCTTGTCCCCACACCAGCAGAGATTTGGGGCCCTGGCCGAGTCAGCTGGCTCGGGCAGACACCCTGTTCCGAGCTGGGCCGGGATTGACCCTGACCCTTGAGAGAGACGCAGACAACAGCGTGTGGCCTCCAGAGGGCTAGCACAGCCAGCAGGCATTTAGGAAGCCTGCTGTGTGCCTGCCACTGTGCTGGGGAAAGGGGGGAGGGATTGGAGCCTCGTGGGGAGAACTCTTTCCCCCAGGGCCAGATGTGCTGCTGAGTGGCCCCCCCCCCCTTCCTGGCTTCTCACGGGCCCTGGGGCCAGCATATCCCAAGCTCTGTGCCCATCCAGGGAACCCCCTCCTCACTTCGTCGTTTCCTGGCAGAGTGGGGAGGGCAGGCCATGAAGCGGCAGCCACAGCCAAATCAGGATGGCGGGGCTTAGCTGTGACCTTTCCTCCACCATCTCCCCCAACAGACGCTTTGTCCTTTTGGCAGCAGTCAGGGTGGGGAGGCCCCCCTGAGATACCAGGTGTTCCCAGCCAGAAAGAGCGTAGCTACCCCCGCAGTCAGTAACGGGGCATCATCCCCCTCTGCAAGTGTCTCCCCCCCACCCCCAGCTCCCTGGACTTCATGGAACCAAAGGTAGTGAACCAGGTAGAGACAGCACATCCACCCTGCTTCCTGGACTTTGTGCCTGGGGGTGTGTGTGTGTCCGTCTTGTTCTGTCAGGACCCCAACACCCACACTCACTTACTTGGAAGGTCACACCTGCCTCTGCGAGGGACAAGCACCCCACCCCCATCCCCACCTCAGCAGGGTCCCTGGGGAGGCTGCGGGCCTGAAGGACCTCCCATCATGCTTCTAATACCCAGTTTTGTTTGTTTTGGGGGGTGGGGTGGGAGGAGAGACAAGAACACCCACCCCAGGGCTGCCACACCCTAGGCCCTGAGGTCTAAGGCCTCCTGTCCCTGCTGCAGTCCTGTTCAGCCTCTCCTTAGGGGCGGCCTCCTGAGGAAAGCTGCTGGATCCCTTCTATGGCCCTATCTGGGGGGGGGGTGACCCCTGGGTTTGCTGGTCCCAGATGGTTGGCAAACTGCCCTGCACCTCAAATCCCATGGGAGGTGCAGGCAGACAGCACAGGTGGGCCCTGGGCCTCCCCCCCTTCCCCTCGCCAGCCTTGGCCATGGGTGCCTGCAGGGCCAAGCTTTCTTGTCGTACAAGAACCCGGATTCAAGGTTTCCTGACTTCTTTCAGGGAGCAGAACGGCTGTCCGATTTTCTAGAGCAGCCAGGACTGTGAATGGATCTCAGAGGATGAGTGCAAAGTCAACCAGCGACCTTTATGTAAATTAATAAACCTATTTAAGGCCACACACTGGTCAGCGTTGGCTTCCTTGGGGGTGGGGTGATGCCACACCAGTACCCCACGGTCACCTGGTATGCCCCACCTGAAGGGAGGGCCTGGGCAGCCCCCCCAAAGTGCAATGGGGTCTCCCCTGCCCCTGCCATGGCTGGTCTGCTCAGGGAGGAGCAAGGAGGCCCCCTGAGGGGCCACTGGTCAGCCTCTATCTCCATGGGGGGGTGGAGAATTCCCTCTGGAATCGTGGCCAGGCCCTGAGCTCCTTCGGGCTGCAAGCCGTGACCCCCTTCCTGGAGGGAGGGGCATGATGACCCAGACTTGGGATATGGCTGAGAAATGGGGACCTGAGGCCCACATCGGCAGCTAATCCTGCACCAAACAGGCCCAGCCTTGTCCTATCAACCCCACCTCCCACGGCACACATGCCATGTGCCGTGGGCCTGGCCTGTGCCTGATGGGCTGGCCACCCAGCTGTCCCATCCCCCTCTGGCCTCAGGCAAGGCCTCCAGGAAACACATGGTGGTCCTGGGGCACAGGACCCCGGACCTACTGTTCTGGCCTTTGGCCTACCTCCTTGCTGCCCCTGCTTTCCCACCTGGCACCCAACCCCTTCAGCCAGAGGCTCCAGCTTGCTCCCCCCCTCAAGCTGCGCTCAAACACAGCCCCCACATGGCGCCTCTCCTGAGCCCCTTTCCAATAACCTCAAGGAGGGGCACAATTAGAAGCTGGAGAAGGGGCTCCTGACCAGGGAGGAGGAGAGCCCCTGGGCCACACACCTGAGAACTCTGCTGCCCACAAAGCCTGACTGAGCCCTGGGGCCAGGAAGAGGCAGGTTTTATTGGATTGGGTATAAAAATAGAGTCTCTGGTATGTGCAGAGCGCCAGGCGGCCCGCTCACTTGCTGCTACCCTCGGGCCCTGGCTTCTTCCGCAGCCTGGCCTTGGGGCCGCCGCTGCCTCTCCCGGGTGGCAGTTTGGCCTTTTTCACCAGGGGGGTGGCTGGGGGAGCAGCATCCAGCCCATCCTTCCTCTTCCCAACCCGGAGTTTCTTCCTGCGCCCCTCAGAGCCTGGTGCCCCGTTCACCGTGGCCTGCGGCCTTGAGACCTTGGTCTGGTCTGAGGCAGGGGTCCCTGAAGGTGACTGGGGGCCCTCCCCAGTACCATTCACCCCAGGCCCAGGCAGCATCCAGCGCTGCTTTGATTTTCTCCTCCTCTTCCTCTTCCTCTGCCCTGCCCTCTCTGCGGTGGTGGCAGCAGTGGCAGGGGCATCCTCGCTGCCCTGGGGGGCTGCTGGCTCCTCCTGGCGCCTCCTGCGCTTCTTGGTTTCGGGGAGGAAGCCTTTCTTCCGCTTCCGTCTCGCCGGCTCCTCAGAGGCCCTGGCTGCATCCTGGTTCTGAGAGGCCCTGACCTTCTCCTCCTTAGGACGCCTGTAAGGGAGCATGCCAGGGTCAGGGCCCTGCGGGGAGCCACTGTCCCCAGACACTCCCCCGGCCCCTAGGTACATACGGGACACCCAGCAGCTTCAGGGCCTGCCAGATGAGGTCGGACAGGCGGCCCGTGGTGCCCAAGTGGTCACTCTGCCGCAGGGTCTGCAGCATGGCCAGGGGGGCCTCCAGGCTTGTGGGCAGCTTCTGTGGAGATGAGGAAGACCCATGGCTGCAGGTGGAGAGACCCCACCCCACGGCAGGCAGGGAACCGACAGAAGCTCCCCCCGCCGGGGGCAGAATGAGCAGCCTCCAGGGGGCAGGAGAGGGGGGCCCAGCCAGGAGTCAGATTGAGGGGGAGTCCCAGACCCCCCCCCCAAGAAGAGGCCTCCTCACCTCCTCCTTCACGATCTTGATGAGGAAGATGAGGAGCTCCAAGGCCTTGAACATTTTGAGGTGGGTGCTTTTGTTCATGGCCTTACCCACCATTCTCAGACTCTGAGGGAAGAGAGAGCCATGCAGCGGCTGCCCAGGGTGCTCACGGGGAGTCTCCCAGGGGATGCAGAGAAGGCCATGTGGCCTCCCAGGGCACTAACGGGGAGTGTTAGCAGGGACGTGAAGAGGGCCACGTGGCCTCCAGGGCACTGACAGGGAGTGGCGCAGGGGGCCACGTGGCCCCTCAGGGCACCGACAGGGAGTGGTGCAGGGGGCCACATGGCCCCTCAGGCCACTGACAGGGAGTGGCACAGGGGGCCACGTGGCCTCCCAGGGCACTAATGGGGAGTCCCTGTCTCGAGCCTCCCGGGGGTGGGGGAAGTGCTGCATAGCTCACATACCTCAGTGGTCTGCCTGACACTGTCCCCAATCAGCTCCCGCCAGGCTGAGCCCTCCAGGGACCGCCTCAGCTCCCGCATCTGCAAGGCCTTCAGGAGCATCAAGCAAGCCTGGGCCTGAAAGGTCACAAAGAAGAGCCTGTGTTCCCGGTGGTCACCAGCCATGGATGCCTGGGCTGGCTGCTCCCTCCCCCCTAAGGAGGCTGCAGAAGGGCCCGCCCCTAGCCCAGGCCGAGTCCAAAGATGAGGCCAATTTGTATCAGAAACACAGACATACTGCTGACCCTTTGGGTTTGTGACCCCGGCTCAGGCCCCAGGCCTCTCTGGGAGTGGGCACGGCTGTAGGTCTAAGGCCCTTTGGACCTTCTGCAATCAATGCATGGGGACGAGCTTGTCTCGGGACCCAACAAGGGATAACCAGAGGGGTCCCAAGCCAGCCCCTGTCCTGTGAGGCCAACACTGAGGGCAGCCACATGACCCATCTAGTGCCCGCGGCCAGCCCAGCCACGAGCCCCTCACTGCACGAAGCCAACTGGTCCTGCTGGTCAGTGACGCCGCCCACCTAAACTAAAGCAAAGCTTGATGTAAACCGAGACAGTGACCCAGCAGGGAAGACGGGGCCGAGACCCCGCTGCCCACCAGCCGAGAAGCAGGCACGGGCGGTGGGCCACTGCCCAGTGCCCAGCAGAGCCCCAAGGGCCAGCCAAGGCAGGAGCCTCCCCCCACCCCGGGCCAGCCCTGAGTCTTACCTGGTGGTAATGCCGGGCTCCGGTTGTGACAAACGGGAGGATGACGGGGACCAGCTGCTGGCAGATCATCTGTGGGGAGGGCCAATAGCCCCTGACCACACTGCCCCGGCCAGTCCAGACGCCTCCCCCACCTTCCCCTGTCACTGTACTCCTAGAAGGGGCCACCTGGGACCCCTGGTCCTGCTGTTAATGGGCAGGTCCCCCGCACCCCCGAGCAGTACGGGCTGGGAGGGGCAGCACGGAGATCATGGGGGCCATGACCCCGGCTCTCTGGGTCTGTTTCTACTTCTGAAACAAGCAGGAGGAAGGAGGAAGCCGCAGCATCCACACTTACAGGGTGGCGGGTGAAGAGGTCCACAAACATGGCAGCTGTGAGGGGGCTGTTCCGCTTGGACAGGAAGCCAGTCAGTGCCTCGGTGTACAGCTGTGTCACTCGGGCCAGGTCCAGGCAGCTGGAGCCCTGCAGGAGCACAGGAGTGGCCACTGGAGCGGGGCACGCAGGGGGCGTCAGGCCCCACCCCGTCGTGTGATGATAGGATCTGAAGTGTTTTTCTGGCCACTGCCCCCGAGGCTGAGAGCCAGGGGGTCTTGAACGCCACCTCCTGGTAATGGGGCCTATGCAAGTCTCCCCTCGCCCCAGCTCTGTCTTCCCAGGGGAACAAGGAGGGAGTTTCACCTCCACTTGTGGGGGGAGGGTGGCCTTCATGGCGGGGCTCACCTCTGCTTGGGGCGGGGTGCTGGCTTTCCGCTGCTTCTTTGGGGACAGGGCAGCTGGTGGCTTGGCAGTGTTCCCCTTCAGGACCCGGAGCAGGTAGAGGGAGGCACTGAGGGTATGAGGGTGGAGAGCAGACTCAGGCCCCCCCACCCCACACTGGCCTCGGAGGGCTCAGACCCACCCCCACCCACTGGCCTCCTCTGCGGCCTCCTTACCTGAAGTGGTAGAGGGCGACGGTGGAGTCCACCTGGCGGCTAGCCCGCTGCACCAGACGCTCCAGCATAGCATGGATGTCCTCAGCCTGGTTCGCCACACTATGGCAGTACTGCTTGGCCCGGCACAGTTGGTTCCTACCAGGGCAGGGGGGAGATTGGGAGCGTCACTGCCAGGGAGCGCCTTGCAACCCAGAGCAACGAGGAGGCTCGGTGGGGACCTGACCCCTAAGCGTTACCTCCAGATGCACCGTACCCCATACCCCCCACCGTCCTCAAGGCAGGCCTTTGGTGCCAGGCGCGCACTCACGTGAAGATGTCCGCTGTCTTGCGCAGGAAGTCCTGCTCCTGCTTGGCGGAGTCGCAGCTCATGCTCCGCTCGATGACGGCCAGCAGGGGTTCAACCAGCTCCAGAACCAGTGGGTTTTCAGGCTGCTTGGTCAGGAACCCCTCCACCAGGTCCAGAACCTGAGAGGTCAGAGCAGTGGGAGGCTGTCCCCTGGGCCCCCCCAATTAGGGCCCCCCCCCGACCCCAGCCACTGCCCCCCACCCCTCTGGGGGCTCCCCCAGGACCCCACCCGGCCGCACCTTGATCTTAAAGTCACAGCGAAGGTTCTTTTCCTTCTGCACCTTGTCTTTCTCCTGCTTCTTGGCCTGTGCCCGCAGCTTCTGTTCCGCAAACAGGCTGGAGAGGCGCGCGTCTAGTGCCATCATGGCGTCATCATCCAGTTCCTCGCTGCTGCTCTCACCGTCGGCATCCTGGGGGCAAGGGAGCCGCTGCTGGGGAGGGGGAGGCCCAGGGCCCTACCCAGCTGATGGGGGTGGGGTGGGGGGGCAGCAACCCCTGCCTACACCAGACTGCTGGGGGAGGTGGGGCTCACACCCACCAGAGGCCGGCCCCAGGCTCACCATGCCCGGGATTCATGGCTAGGCCAGCCAGGGTCCCAGGCCCCAGCCTCCTGACTCACCAGCGCCTTCCCGGCCTGAAGCACGTCCATCAGCCGCTGCCGGAAACCACTGTCCACCTCCCCGTCTTCGTCCTCACTCCCGTCGCTGTCTGAGCCGTCCTCATCCTCGTCACTGGCCAAGTCCTCCTCGCTCTCATCCTGCGATGTTGGCCCGGCTTGGTCCTGACTCCGCCCCTCCCCGCTCACTCGTCACCGACCCCTGACGCCCACTCCCTGGTTCCTACCTCCCCAGCTGTGGCTGGCCTCTTCTGGCCGGACTCCTCCGTGACCACCACCGCCCCGTCCTCCTCCTGATCAGGGTCCAGCACCTGCAGACCAAGCAGGGGACAGGGTGACTTCCCAGGTGGGGCGCCTTGGCCCCTCTCCCAAGCCAGGCTGGAACACCCGGACCGAGCCCCTGGCCCCACTCACATCCAGGATCAACTGCAGGGCCCGCCGGTTCAGGTGCGGGCAGATGCGGGCGAACACGCTGCGAGAGACCTGGCGCATGAGGCGGCTAGGCTGGGACAGCAGCGCCAGCAGGATCTCCACCATCACCTCCACCCACTGGGGCTCCTCCGTGCCTGCCAAGAAAGGCCCAGCATGGACAGTGAGCCACACTGGCCCAACTTTTACGTGGCCTCCTCTCACCAGGCGAAGACACAGGCCTGAGGGCCCGTCAACTGCAATGGCCAGGGCCGCCAGACTCCGGAAGGGCCTTGGCTAACTGTCCTGCTGCCCAGGGACATTAGAGGGGGACAGAGGGCTCCTCTGGGACCACAGCCCATCCTGGGCACATTAGAGGGGAGCAGCGGAGCTCCTCTGGGACCACAGCCCATCCTGTGCACATTAGAGGGGAGTAGGGGGGCTTCTCTGGGACAATAGCCTGCCCTGAGGACATCATACGGGGCAGGGGGCTCCTCTGGGACCCCGCCCTAGTGCCCTGGCCTCACCAGCTGCTGCCTTCTTGGCCTTCTTATCCAGGGCTTTCTCGATGCAGCTCTGCAGGTCACTCAACAGGTCAACACACTCACTGGGAGCCTGGAGGGAAGGAGAGGAGGGGAGCTGGGATCCCTGGGCCCCCCTCCCTGGGGTGGCCTAGATCTAGGGCTATTTCCTCCCGCCCGGCTAGCCCAAGCCCCAGCTTGGACAGAAGTGCAAGCCCAGAGAAGGAGAGAGGCCAGTCAAAGGTCGGAGGTGAGGCATCTTTTGGACTTTCGCTAACCTCCCCAGGGCAGACTGACTCATTCCTGCCCTCCCCATCCCCAGTACTGGGGTGTGTAGCCTCACTGCCTGACCTCTGAGCCTCAATCTCCTCATCTACACAATGGGGCTAACGCCAGCCCCACCTCCCAGGGTCGCTGGTGGGCTGTGTGCTCACTGCCTGCAGGGGGAGGGAGGTCAGCAGGACCAGCGGAGGAGGGATGTCCCTGGAGGGAGGCATGGGGTAGCCCGCACCTATGCACCTTGAAAAGGTGGATGCCCACCAGGAGCAGGAGCTGCTGGAAGGCTGTGATCTCAGCCACGCGGCTGTCCTTGACCCGCTGCTGCAGGCGATCTGCGGACTGCAACATCCTGCAGAGAGGAGTGGAGGGGAAGGGTCAGCCAGGCCCCGCAGAGGGCCAGCCCACACCCAGCCAGGCCACCAGGCTCACCGGTCCCAGGCAGCCTTCTCCTTGGCAGTGAAGGGCTTCACGGGCCGGACGTTCTTACTGTGGGACAGCAGGAGGTCCGCATACTGCACCAGGTGCTGGGTCCAGAGCTGGCCATCTGCCATCACGCCGTGGCCGACCTTCCCTTTGGGCAGGCTTGGCACCGCCTCGGGGGCTTCTCCCAGCAAGGGGAGGGAGTTCAGGGTCTGCAGCAAACTGGTGAAGCAGGCCAGCATCATGCTACACAGCCCAGAACCCACCCCAGGCCTAGACCCCCTGCTGCGGGCCTCTGCCACTTCCTAGCCCCGTGACCTCAGGACCAGCATTTTAATGCTGAGACTCAGTTTCTTCATCTGGCCCTTCTCATTACCAGCCTCCAAAGGCAGCTCTCACTGTGGTTCAATGACCACTATTTATTAAGCACTGACTGGAGCTGGGGATGCGGAGAGGTAGAGGGTCAAGGCAGGGGCATGTTAGGGGATGCTAGGAAGAACCTCGAGGGAGGCGCCAGGGAGCCAGCCAAGCTCCTGGGGCACCAGTGACCCGGTCCAAGGCCCTTTCTCTGCATCACCAGAGGGAGAAGCAGCCCTGTCTGGTAGCCATGTGGGGAGGGGGGGGGGCGTGGCTGTTCTAAATGGGAGGTGGGGGCTGGGACCCAGGAGGCAAAGGGGCCCTCTGGGCAGGGTGGGAGCGAGGCTCAGGCAGGGCACATGGGGGGGGTGGTCCCCTTATGGCCCCCCTCGCTTGGCAGATGGAGCTCACCAATGCTGGTTAAGTGACCTGCCCAAGCCCAGGCACAAGGCCTCACCTGTTGGGGGTGGACCCACCTAAAAAAGGAGCTCCCAGAGGCATCTCTGGTCTCACTGTCCAGCGGCACACAGACTTGCTCCTCTGACTCAGGAATGTCCTTGCAAGGTTTCTTTGTCTCAAAGAATGAATGAAAAAAGCAGAACCTGCGGGGATGGGGAGAGCCGTGACTGGAAGCAGAGGCAGTGTCAGGGGGGATGGGCCCAAGGGGCACAGGCCCAGGGCACGGATGCCCCACGCCCACTTCTCTCTTCCCTGGTGGACTGGAGGGGCTGGGCCAGATGGCTCCAAGCTCCCGCGGGGTCCCGGAATCAGGGTCTAAGGATGGCTCCCATCCCTCCCCAGCTTTCCTCATTCCCGGGTGGCTGGCTCCCAGCCTAGTCTTAGGCCCTCCTTCCACCGCCATGCCACTGACCCAGAGAGGAATGGAAGTAGACAAGTGTGGTCAGGCCAAGCCTGGCTCTGCCCACACAAGCCCTCCTCCCTGGAACTCCAACCAGGTCACACAATGGCCATTTGGGTACCCTCCCCTCAGTACCGTAAGTGCAGGCCCTTGGCAGGCTAAACTGCTGGACAATCAGCTAGGTCCCTGGGAGCTAGTGTTACTATCCCTGGTCAAGCCTCTAAACCAGGAAGACCTGGGGTCAGGCCCTGACTGACCCAACCTTGCCACAGAGGAGATGCTACCCTGCCTTGGTGAAGGGAGTGTGCTCGTTTGGGAGTCCCCTGACCATCCCTCCCACACAGGATCGTGGATTTAGAATGGGGCCCTGGGGGTCATCCAGTGGAACCAGTCTCATCTGATGGATGAGAAAAGGGAGGCCCAGAGGACTAAGGGCCAGCCACGGTCCCACGGATGCTCTGTGGTGGGTCTGGACCCTGCATTTAAGGCTCCTGACTTGCATGCACTCCCCTTCCCCACCCAGGGCTGCGTCCCAGCAGGGCCCCCCCAGCTCTCCCACCTGGCTATGCCCATGACGAAGGCCTCATCCTTCGTCACCTGGGCATTCTCCACAATGCTGGCCAGTCTCTGGATAAGCCACTTCCGCAAGCGAAACACAGACTTCTCGGCCCTGGGGGAGACACGGACGGGTTGGTGCCGGTGGCCCGGCTCCCAGCTGGCCCCTGGCAGTGCCGCCGTGGCTCCTCTCATGGGGCGCCCAGGCCCACCCCAGCACTCACGCTGCCACACGCCCGCTTTCGTCTTCCGCGGCGTTCTTCTTTTGGCGGCTTGTGCTGAACTCGAGGCAGCTGCTGAGGTCGGGCCGCAGAAACGTGTCCTGCAGCCAGCGGCTGTAGCACCTCAGTGCCTCTGGCTGTAGGTGTTTCACCACTGGCCACAGGCTGGGCACCACCGGGTAGCCCTGGTTTGTGAGGGAGGAGAAGGCCACCAGCACAGCCAGCTGCTTGTCGGGGTCTGCGCAGCCCTCCAGGAAGGAGCCCACGTACTTCTCCATCTCCGGGGCGAACTTGAATCTTGAAGGGAGCTGGAGGCGGAGGGCGATCAGGGAGGGACTGTCGTGGCTCTCAGGGCCCCCTCCCGGCCCTAGCGGCCCGGCTCTGTACCCTCCGCTCCCCCCACATCCCGAAGCATGAGTCGACGCCTACCTGAGCTGAGAGCACATGGTCTCCGTATCGACGCATCACTTCTCCACGGAGGACCATGCGGAGTTGCTCCACGGACAGCAAGGGCAGGGCACTGCCCAGCAGGCGGAAGGCCGTGTAACTGGGGAGGGATGAGGGCATCAAAGGCTACTACTGCTCGGGAGGTTCGCTCTCCCCCACCCCCCCCCGACATCCTTCGATCTCAGTGAAGCTCGCTTGGTCTAATGACTTTTGGGACCCGCTCGCCCAGGCACTGAGACCACGTGAGGTGGTAAAGACGCCACATTAACACAGCCCTTCAATGCTGGCATGGTTGGCTAGGGAAGCGCTGGGGAGAAGGAAGCCTGTACCTGCCAGGCCCGGAGTGCTCCTCAAGAAGCCCCTCCTCCACCACACCCTTCCAGAAGAGCTCAAAGGCGCCCTCCTGCAGGGCGATGCGGATGAGATCCAAGCCCACAGGGGGCAGCACCTTCTCCTTCTTCACAGACTTAGCCGCAATATTCAGAACTTCCACCAACCTAGAGGAGTTTGAAAATAAGTGGGAAAGTAAACAAGTTCTCAATCCGGGTTGGGAATCCCGACTCTAGTCCAAGCCATTCATCTGACAGATTTGGAAACCAAGGGCCCAAGAAAAGAAGAAAGGGATTGCCCAAGCTCACATGGTCAGTAACCGCTGGGGTTTCACCCAGGATTCTGCCTCACAACCTGCACAGCTGGTGCCTGATAAAGCCAGGGAGGGCAGCTCAGAGCTTCAGACACCAGCCGGGCCACACCTCTCAGGGTCTCTCCGCTCCTTTCCAGGCTAACGTCTGGAATGCTGAGGCCAGGAGCTGAACCTGGAAGAATGCTGGGGACTTGGGTGTCTCTTCTCGGCAAAGGGTCAGAAAACACCTGCCCTGTCTCCCCGGGTAGGCAGCTGCGGCCCTACACTCCTCACCTGCCCTCTGAGCTGAACCTAACTGGTGTGTGCTGGGGCTGGGAGCATGGCCCAACTCTCCCTCCCAGACCCAGGCCAGGCTGGCCAATGCTCCACCCACAACCAGCCAAACCTGGGGATGGTCTCCTTGGTGACCACAGAAGCTGAGCCCAGCAGCTTCTTCAGTTTCTTGGGCTGCAGGACACCTGGGAACCTCTGGAGCCCCACCAGGAGGAGCTGAAGCTGCTCAGGGGTGCTGAAGGCCAAGGTGAAGTCAGCCTGGAGGACGCTGAACAGGACCTCCTTGAACACAGGCTCTGGGATCTGTGTAGGGAAGAGGAAGCAAGGCTGACAGAGGGTGCTCCCAAGGGAAGGCGCCTCACCACCCACTTAAACGTGTCTGCCCGTCTTCCCCAGAGGCCTGAGATGGTCCCCTAGAACTCCCCCTCTGACCCCAGCCAGGTCAGTCAATCCATCCTGAATCTGTAGGCCTCAGCTTTCTTCTCTGGAAATTGATGGCCCCCTCCAGCTGTGGACCTCAGCTACTGTGGTCCTGGTTGTGGGAGCACCCAGGAGGCATTTCTCCAGCCCTACCTCTGAGAGGATGTCTACCAGCGTACGGTGAGGCAGGTCCCGAAGGTGGTTTCGGTGTTGAGCCAGGGTCTGCAGAAGCTGGACAGCTTCCACTAGTACCTTGTGGTCCTGGGTAGGGAAGCAGCACAGACATGTGTTGAGAAGGTGGGCAGTGTGTGGAGATGAGTGAGAGCATGTGCGTGCATGTGTGTGTGTGTGCATGTGTGTGTGTGTGTGCGCGCGCACGCGTGCGCGCAGGAACGAGGCCCTAATCTAGGTCCCAAGGGAGTAGCCAGTGAGAAATGCCAAGGAAGGCAGGGACCAAAAAACACCCAGGGACCAGCCCAGCCTCTGATGGCCCAGCCCAGGGTCCACTCTCCCCCAGGAGCCCAGATGCTGCTGAAAGCAGCCCAGGTCAGGTTTACCTTTATCAGGCGGCCCGACTGAAACAGCGCTAAGACCCCAAAGAAGTTCCCAAAGGCGGCTCTCCGTGAGAGCTTCTGGAAAAGACATTCCGGAGGGCAATGAGTCCTCCAACACACTTTCAGGCAAGCCCTGAGAGGTTCTTTACAACTAGTGCAACTGACTGGGCAAGTCACTGGCCCCTGGGAGCCTCAGTTTCCACATCTCTAAGATGGAGTACTGGCCGTGAGCTGCTGCTCCCGCCGAGCCCCACCTCCAGGGAGCACAATTCAGCTACCTGTTCAGGCTGCTGCTGCATAAGATCCTCCCCTCACTTGTAGCCCCTAAAGCGGCAGCAGCACCAGCTCTACCCCAGGGTCAGGAAGCAGGCAGAGGACTCCAAGGACCTTGGCAGTGGAGCAGAGCCCGGGACGTGGGGACGCCAGCCCGGGAATCTGAGGAGGGAATCTGGGCAGAAGAGGGAATGGGGCCCACCCTGAGCATCCGACTCACCTTCTTCTGCAGGTCGTGCTTTTCTCTTATCTGCTCCAAGACACCATGCAAAGGGACGTCCTCTAAGACCTGTAACACCTAGGAGGGTGCCCAGCTGGCTTAAGCGCCATGACCTCGGGGGTTCCCCGACCCCTGATCCAGACTCTCACATGCTGAGCCGCTGGTGGGCCTCAAACCCGGGTGGGTGGGCCCTGGGTGGGCCCCGCCCCTCCCAACCTTCCCCATCCCTCTCCACAGAGCCTCCCACCCTCCTCCCACTCTGGCCCCCCTGGACCGGCTGAGGTCACTCAGCCCTGAGCAGTCAGAACACTGACAGCGGCCCCAGGACCCGGAGGGTGAGGGCCTCCCGCCCAGCCAAAGCCCCCTCCTCACCTGGCTCAGGGCCAGGCTGAAGCCTGGCCTCGCTGCCTCCCGGGTGGCTCCCAGGCCCTCGATGAGCCGCTTCAAGGCGTACTGGAGCTCGGCCTCCTGCAGGGAGAGGGAGAATAAGGCCGGGGCTCCCAGGGGTAGATCCCGCAGCCCCTCAACGTGCCCCTGTGGGCGCTCCCGCACCCCCCCTACCCCCCGCACCTGGGGGCTCCTGCAGCCCCCTCCTCCCGCCCCTGGGATCCCACCCAGCCCCGCACCTGGGGGCGCTCCCGCAGACGCTCCACCAGCGCCGCCGTGGCCGCCAGCCGCTCCTCCTGGGCCGGCTTGGCGATGCCCCAGAACAGGTCCAGGAAGTCCCGGCTCTGCTGCAGCAGCGGCGCCGCCGAGGCCGAGGCCGAGGCCTCCGAGGCCGAGGCCTCCGCCCCCCGCGGCCCCACGCGCCGCGTCCGCCATCGCCGCCTCCTCCTCCTCCTCCTCCTCAATCGCCTGCTCCGCCACCTCGACAGGCTGCAGCTCGGCCTCCTCCTCCTCCGCCGCCGCCGCCGCCGCCCGAGATCCCCGCGTGCCCCTCGCGCCCCGTAAGCTCCGAGTCCCAGCCATGCTGCGCAGCGCTCCCAAATGACCCACGTGCTTCCCCGGGGCCGACTGCGCCACACTACTTCCGGGGCACGGCGCCATTGCGCCTGCGCGCTGGGGGCGGGACGGCGGGGCCGAACTACGACTGCGCGCGGAGGGGCGGGGCGGGACCGATACGAGCGCTGCCGGCTCAGCGCCTGTGCGCCCGAGGTCAGTTCTGCGCTTGTGCGCCCGGCGTGGGCGGGGCCGGAGTGAGGAGGGGGTGCCCTTCCCCTCCTCCCCATTCCCTCCCTGCTCCACCGTCCTTTCCCTGGGGAGGAGGTCCAGGGGAAGAACCCGGGTTTGAGTCCCTGCAGCTCTGCAGCTCCGCATCCGCGGCCACCCGGGCAAGCCCCTGTGTCCCCCCTCCGTCAGACTGGGGAGGAGGCATCCCCGCAGCACTCAAGTTCGAGCTTGAAGGGAGGCGATCTGCACCAGCGGAGGGAGTGCGCACTGCCAGCAATAATAGCAGCAGCCAGCATTCTTACGGTGCTTTGGGGACCCTCCCGACCGCCTGGGGAAGGAGGTGCTGTTACTTCCACACTTGCAGTTGAGGAAACCGAGGCAATCCGAGAGCAGCGTGTCTTGCTTAGGATGAGCCAGAGGCCATCAGCACCGCGCCAGCGCGCAGGGCGGGCTCACACACACATCCTAAGGCGGGATCTTTGAGAAGGAGCAGAGCTCCGACGCCCCAGGGCGGCAGACACGCCGAGGCTGGACAGCCCTGGCAGGGATCCTGCTGGGAGGCTCATGGTCAGGCTGGTCACCATGGACTGGGCAGCTCTGTGACCCTGAGCCTCTCAAAGGGCCCTTCTTGCTCATTTGTTAAATTTCCCTCACTCCTGTTTGTCTCTTTCTTGTGGCCCCTTTTGGCATAGCCTCTGCCTTGTGGTCATTCCGAAGGGAATCTCGGAGCCAAGCTGGACCCCGGAGGTCACCTTCCTCCATTCTCCCGCCCGCCCTCCTTTGGAAGAGGAAAGCGGGGCCTTTGAGAGGAGGGGGTGTTACCTGCAGTACTAGGTCTTAACAGAGAAGCTCGGCCGGTGGTCATTAAAATCCGTTCCGTCCCCCCTGCCCAGATCTTCCTCCTTTGCACAGGCAGATCTTGGCAGCGAATGGTGGCGGTGACGCCGGCGGGTGATGATGGATCACCCTGGGAGAGGCCCACTCCTAGGGAGGCTCCCAGGGAGGCTGCTGCGCTGTCCCTGGTGCTGACAGCGGGCTCCCAGTGGAATCCTGGGACCCTGCTTGAATGAAAAATGCATTCTCACATCTGACAGAGCTTCGTGCTCCACATTAGTCTCTTCTTTTAGCCTCAGAACAACAGCAACGTGGGGAAAGCAGGAAACATTGCCCTCCTTGGACAGGTTTGAACAACAATCCCGGAGAAGGTCAGCAAATTGCATAGGATGACAAAGGCAGTGAGCCAGCTGGCTCCAGGATGCTCTCCTGATTTGAAAGCCCGAGCTCCTTCTATTGCCCTGAGAACGCTTCTCCTAAGGAGCCCTGGGCCTCCCTGCTTTAACCTCTTACACCCTGTTATACCACAGTCTGCACTGCCTTGATGTTCCAGCCGCAAATCAGGAGAGACAGAGACAGGAAAAGATGCAAAACCAAAAGAAAACAAAAACCTTTGACGGCCCCAAGGGCCCTGTGGATGATCGAGCTCAGAATATGCTGGCTGGCCACTTCTCAGCCTCCTAACTGAGGAGATCTTTGCCCAGGTTTAGGCAGGCCTGGGCCTGTTACCTATCCTGTTCTAGTCTAGAAGCTGAGTGCATAGTACTAAGCCCTAGTACCTAAGGGGTCCAACCTGGCACCATTCTAGATCGAGCTCTAATGCTGCTAAAGTTGGGAAACATCCTCAGAGGCAGCATTGCTTGCATCAAGAAGTTTCTGAGGCCAAGAAAGGAATGTGAATGGTGACACACATTATTTTTTCTATCATATTAATAAGCAATTATCAAATGAGGATCCAGGCTTTTTCACCTGTTTCTTCATTGAGGCCCAGCTCCTGTAAAAAAAAAAAGTCGGGGCAGAGCCAAGATGGCGGAGTGAAAGCAGTGACTTGCTTGAGCTCTCCCCCAAACCCCTCCAAATACTCATAAAAAATGGCTCTAAACAAATTCTGAAGCAGCAGAACCCACAAAAAGACAGAGTGAAACAAATTTCTAGCCCAAGACAACCTGGTTGATCAGAGAGGTGTATTGCGCCGGGCTGGGAGCACAGCACAGCGTCGGCACGCAGGCCAGGCCGCAGCAAACCTGGAGCAAGCCTCAGAGGACTGAATCTTGGGGAGCTGTGGAGGTTTCCAGACTCCTCAATCCATGAGTGCCAAAGACAACTTAGAAGGTCAATGGAAAATGTCTGTTTCTGTGGTGCTGAGAGAGGAAGGCGGGTTTCAGCTCCATTCCCCAAGAGCATGGCCCTGGGGGGGGGGCAGCTGCTTCCGAGCTTCCGGCCCACACTGAGGGGGAATCCAGTGGCTGATCAGAGAGGGACTGCAGGGATCTCTTTGCCAGTGCTGAGGCACGAATCTCTTGCTTTGCCCCTGTTTGGATCTGGGACACAGTTCTGGGCGGCATGCTGGGGTGAGGAGGAGTGCTGGTATGGTGGAGCTGTGGCTGTGGAGAGGAACCCCTCCTCACAGTTAGGACAGAAAGGAATACTTGTGGTCACAGGCCAGGAAAGGAGTAAACACCTCGCCCCTTATCATACCACCTTGGAAGAACTGAAAATTTACAGGTCCCTACAAGTATCTCTGAAAACAGCTAAACAAACCCCTGAAGCTTGGGACAGTACACTCTCCACATTGGAAGCAGACTCTTACCTTAACAAAGAGTTTAAAACTCAAGTAATTGGCTGGGATCATGAGCAAGCAGCGCAAAAAGAGTCAGACTATATTATCTTACTTTGGTGAAAAGAAGATCAAAATATACAACCAGAAGAAGACAACAAATCAAAGCTCCTACATCCAAAGCCTCCAAGAAAAATATGAATCAGTCCCAGGCCTTGGAAGAGCTCAAAAGGGATTTTGAGAAGCAAGTAAGGAAGTAGAGGAAAAACTGGGAAGAGAAATGAGAGTGATGCAAGAAAATCATGAAAAACAAGTCAACAGCTTGCTAAAGGAGACCCAAAAAAACACTGAAGAAAATAACACCTTAAAAAATAGCCTAACCCAAATGGCAAAAGAGGTCCAAAAAGCCAATGAGGAGAAAATGCCCTAAAAAGCAAAATTGGCCAAATGGAAAAGGAAGTCCAAAAGATTACTGAAGAAAATACTTCCTTAAAAATTAGAATAGAGCAATTGGAAGTCAGTGACTTTATGAGAAATCAAGACACTGTAAAACAAATCCAAAAGAATGAAAAATTAGAAAACAATGTGAAATATCTCATTGGAAAAACAACTGACCTGGAAAATAGATCCAGGAGAGAGAATTTAAAAATTATTGGACTATCTGAAAGCCATGATCAAAAAAAGAGCCTAGACATCATCTTTCAAGAAATTATCAAGGAAAACTGCCCTGATATATTAGAACCAGAGGGCAAAATAGAAATTGAAAGAATCCACAGATCTCCTCCTGAAAGAGATCCCCAAAGGAAAACTCCTAGGAATATTGTAGCCAAATTCCAGAGTTCCCAGGTCAAGGAGAAAATATTACAAGCTGCCAGAAGGAAACAATTCAAGTACTGTGGAAACACAATCAGGATAACACAAGATTTAGCAGCTTCTACCTACATTAAAGGACCACAGGGCATGGAATATAATATTCCAGAGGGCAAAGGAGATAGGATTACAAGCAAGAATCACCTACCCAGCAAAACTGAGTATAATCCTTCAGGGGAAAAAATGGTCATTCAGTGAAATAGAGGACTTTCAAGCATTCCTGATGAAAAGACCAGAGCTAAATAGAAAATTTGACTTTCAAATACAGGACTCCAGTGGAACATGAAGAGGTAAACAGGAAAGAGAAATCATAAGACACTTATTAAGATTGAACTGTTTACATTCCTGCATGGAAAGATGATATTTGTAACTCATGAGAACTTTGTCAGTATTAGGGTAGTTGAAGGAAAAAAATTGTATGTATGTATGTATATATAAATACATACATAGAGGGCACAGGGTGAGTTGAAGATTAAGGGGTCATATCTGGAGAATAAAATTAAGGGATGAGAGAGGATGATACTCAGAGAAGAAAGGGAGAGGTAGAATGGGGTAAATTATCTCACAAAAAAAAACCCAGAGAAGAAAAGTCTCTCACAGTGGAGGGGAAACAGGGGAAGGTGAGAGGGAATGAGTGAATCTTATTCTCATAGGAATTGGCTTAAGAAGGGAATAACATACACATTCAATTGGGTATGGAAATCTGTCTTACCCTACAGGAAAATAGGGGGGGAAGGGGACAAGAGAGCAGGGGGATGACAGAGAGGAGGGCAGACTGGGAAAGGGGGTAATCAGAAGCAAATACTTCTGAGGAGGGACAGGGTCAAAAGAAAGAATAGAATAAATGGGAGGGCAGGATAGGATTGAGGGAAATAGAGTTAGCTTTTCACAACATGTCTACTAAGGACGTGTTTTGCATAACTGCACATGTACAACCTATGCTGAGTTGCTTGCCTTTTCAATCAGGGTGGGTGGGGAGGGAGGGAGGGAGAAAATTTGAAACTCAAAGTTTTAAAAACACATGTTTTTTTTTTTAAAAGGCAGAGGTTTGCTGAGTTCTAGAATGTCCTAGTACACGCTCCATAGTAAAACGGGGGCCTGCATTGTGTATACCTAGAAAACAGGATCACAGAGTGGCCACGACTCTCTGGGCTGGGCCCTCATTGGTCAGGCTCCTGTAGATAAATAAACAAAGAAGCCAGCAAAATCTAGAGTAAATTTTTAATAAAATCATAAAATTCCAAAAAAAAATGTCCATCTCTGAAGGATGTGGATGATTGAAGAGATTGTCCTAGCCCTCAAGGTACGTGCTCTTCAATCTTGGGTGGAACCCCACCCAACTAGACCTTACTTTGGCTTGGAGTGTAAACAGAATCCAGTCTAGATGAGCTCTTACCCCTAAGGAAATAAGCCCCTCTCCTTGTATCCCTCCATTAGAGTTTAAGATAGCCCAGCTCATGAAGGAGAAAATCAGCCAGAATGGTCTGGACAGAGATGGATTCCCCTGTCCAGAGTGCTGGAGTGGGCTGAGGCTCCGAATTGAGTCACATTCTCAGTGGGAGGAACTGAAGACTTCTAGCCCACCTCCTCATTAAATGTCCACCAGTCAGAATTGATTTTCAGTTGTCAAGGGAACACCCTTTTGAAGATTATTTAAAGCTTTCAGGCTCTCCATGTCTTTTTTCTTTGATTACCGAGAGAAACCACTGACCATCACTTTATTAATTATTAGCCAGTCTGATTAATAAATTGATTGTTAATTACCCAGAAACTTGGCCTCTCAGGTCTTTCATTCAAAACAATGAGGAAGGACAGTATCATATATCTTTGATTGGACCCTGTGACCTCACTGAGGACGGCTCTTTGGTCTTACCTACCAGGCAGGCCAACATCACTTCTGAAACACTCAGGCTGGTTGCTCTGAGCTTTGGGGACTTCTCGATTTATTTGGGAGAGTGGAGTGGGAAATGGGGATTCTGGCTTGGCATTCTCCTCAGAGAGTGAACTCTGGGAGTTCCACCTGCCTTTCAGTCTGGGTTTGCAGAAGTGAGTCATCTTTCTGTAACTTGAGCAAGGACCTTGCCCTCTCCAGGCTTTTGATTTCTCTTCTGTCAAGTGGCAGCATTGGACTAGATGGTGTCCGCGGTCCCTTCCAAGCCTAGATCTTTGGCCCTGTGCGGAACACAATGAGCCATTCCTCCTAACAAAATAGTATTTTTAGAAAGGAAGAAAGCCTAGCACAACTGATTGAAACACTGACTGAGTCCCATTGACAATGTGCGACAGCTGCGTGCCTCCTCCTGCTCTGCAGAGGGCTAGGCTGAAAGCATCCTCTCCTAGCTCTTCTTCTGATGCCTCTGGAGCTTCACACTCACGTTACATCTGCTTTGGACCGTGTGGTGCACTGTTCTTTTCACTGACCTTGTTTTCGTCACTGTGGAGATTGTTTTCTTGACTCTGCTTATTCCATTCCTCCTCAGTTTTTGTAGACCCTCCCATTGTTTTCTTAGCTCTGCTTACTTCATTCTTCCTCAGTTCGTGTAGATCTTCCCAGGTTTCTCTGTGTTTATCACATACTTCATTTCTTGCAGCACAATACTATTCCATCCACATGCCATACTTTCTTTAGCTGTTCCCAAACAGATGGACATCTTTGTTTCCAATTCTTAGCTATTACAAAAAGAGCTGCTATAAATATTTGGGAGTATATGGGGACTTTTTTTTTTATTATTGATTGCTTCTTTGGGGTATAAGCTCCAAACCTGGCCTGCTTACCAAGGTAGGTGGGAATCCCACCCTGTAGTCAAAACACCAAAAAATGTACAGAAACTTGTGAAGATGATTCCACTCACCATTGCTACATGGAATGTGTGCATGCTTATGGACAACACAAAATCCATTAGACATGAAAAGATGAATAGCTCTTGTTGAAAGAGAATTCAGCAGGTATTGCATCCAAAAAGCAGCCCTGAGTCAAACAAAGCTGGCAAATGAAGTCCAGCTTACCAAAGTCAGAGCTGGATACACATCTTTCTGGAGTGGCTGCAGTGAATGGGAGTGCTGTGAAGCTGGTGTGGGTTTCACAACCAAAACTAATCTAGTCAACAAGCTTGTATGCCTATCAAAAGGAATGAATGGCAGGCTTATGACAATGTGATTACCACTTGCAGGAAAATGCCACACCACCATCATCAGTGCCTGCATTTCCACTATGACTAACCCTGATGAGGTCAAAGAAAAATGTTTATGAAGGCCTAGAGACCCTCATCATTAATGTGCTGAAAGAGGACAAGCTTATAGTTCTGGGTGGCTTTAATTCAGGAGAAGGCTCAGACTGCCAGACGTGGCAGGGAGTCCTTGAGAGGAATGGAATCAGAAACAGCAACAGCAGTGATCACCTACTATTTAAAACTTGTTCATTTCATGACATTCTCATCACCAACATTGTCTTCTGTTTACCAGAATGAAATAAAACTTTGTGGATACACTCTCACAGCAAACATTGGCATTTACTAAACAATGGCATTGTAAGGAGAAGAGACAGGATGTGAGAATGTTGAAGGCAACATGTGGCACAGAGTGCTGGACTATAGCCTTCTCCTCTCCCAGCTAAACATTCACATTCAACAAAAGCAGTGGCCCCCAGGCAAGACAACTACCAGAAGACAATGGATTAGAGGGCTTCTCCAACTATAGACAGTTTGTTGCTACTTTGGAGGGAAAGCTGAGCCAACACATTGTTGTCAACAGTGGAGCAGAAAAGGAGTGGGCAGCTTTCAGAGACTTTGTGTGCAGCACTGCATTTACTCATCTGGGCCAGAACACTTGCAAACATCAAGACTGGTTTAATGAAAATGATGGGGAAATTCAGAAGCTGCTAAATGAAAAATGAGAACTCCCTGGGGTTTGCCAGCAGAGTAGTTCATCTGTCTCTAAGAAGGCCTTGTTTAACTCCAGCAAAAGTAAAGTGCAAGTGAAGCTTAGACAGATGCAGAATTCTCGGCTCAGTAAGAAGGCAGATAAAACTCAGTTTTATGCTGATAGTAACAATCCAAAGCATTTTTATGATACCCTGCAGTCTACTTGTGGGCCAAAGACCTATGGTGCATCTCAACTCCTCAGTGCTGGTGGAGCCTCATTGATTAGTGATAAGGACATGATCCTGGAGAGATGGGCTGAACACTTCCACTGTGCTCTCAACAGACCATCATCAGTCAATGCTGAAGCCACTGACCACTGACCTCAGGTTGAAATCAATCCCTCTCTAGTTTAGCTTCCAACTGAAGAAAAGGTTTTGAATGTCATTAGGCTCCTCTTTTGCGGCAAAGCTCCTGGTGCTGATCTATTCCACCTGAGATTTGCAAGGTGGTGAGCCCACTGCTCAGACAAAAGATGAATGAAACCTTCCAGGTTATATGGCAAGAGGAGTTTATTCCCCAGGAGTTCAAGGATACTTCCATTGTCCATCTCTATAAAGGAAAGGGAAATAGGTTATTCTGTGACCATCAGAGAGGGGTCTCTCTCTCTTAGTTGTTGCTGGAAAGATTCTTGCCAGAGTCCTCCACAATAGGCTGATCCTTCACCTGAAAGATGGTCATCCACCTGAGAGCCAGCGCAGCTTCAGAAAGGGCCAAAGAACAGTCCATATGGTGTTTGCTGCTCAACAACTCCAGGAGAAATGCCAGGAGCAGAACAGAGGTCTGTACATAACATCTGTCAATCTGACCAAGGCTTCTGATACTGTCAGTTGTGAGGGCTTGTGGAAAATTGTCAAAATTCGGTTGCCCAGAGTTCATCAGTCTCGTACACGAAATTCACAACAGTGTGCCTGCCTCCGTTCTGGGTAATAGGTGATGCTGTTGTGCTTTCCTAGTCACCGAAAGAGTGAAGCAAAACTGCACACTTGCTCCCATGTTTTTAGTGTGATGTTTTCAGCAAGGTCATCAGATACCTTCAAAGAGGACAAGCATGGCATCAAGGTCAGCTACAACACTGATGGTAAATTATTTAACTTGAAAAGGCTACAAGTTAAGACTCGAAGTAGAGGGAGAGTTGGTGTGTGACTTTTTGTTGGCAAATGATTGTGCACTCAGTGCAGCCTCTGAGGCTGAGATGCAACAAAGTATGGAGCAGTTCTCTGCCATTTGTGCTAATTTTTCCCTGACAATTAACACCAAAAACCAGAGGTTCTCCACCAACCAGCACCACACCATCCAGCAAATGGAGACATTTTGAGTTCTGTGGATACCATGCCAGTATACTTTCCAGGGATGTCCACATAGATGATGAGGTTGACACATGCATTGGCAGAACCAGCTCAGTGTTTGGGAGGATCCAAAGGAAAGTGTGGGAGAGGATAGGTATTAGACTGCCTATAAAAGTGAAGGTCTACAAACCCATTGTGCTGACCTCGTTGTTGTATGCCTGTGAAACTCGGACAGTATACCAGCACCATGTCAGTAACTGAATTGCTTCCATCTGAACTGTCTTAGGAAGATTCTGAAGATCACCTGGCAAGATAAGGTACAAGAAGAGGTCCTCTCTTGAGCTGAACTGCCAAGCAGTCAAACTCTACTCTAGAAAGTGCAACCCAGATGGGCTGGTCATATTGTTCAAATGCTAAAGTACGGGTGACTAAAAGACTATTTTACAGAGAACTCACACAAGGCAAATGCTCACACAGCAGTCAGAAGAAGTGATACAAGGACACTCTCAAGGTCTCTCTGAAGAACTTTGGAATTAGTTGTGAGACATGAGAGACATTGGCACAGGACCACCCAGCATGGTGTGCCTACATCAAAGAAGACGCTGGGTTTGATGAGCAAAGCAGAATTGCAATAGCTCAAAAGAGACATGAGATTTGTGAATTTGGAGACATCTCCACTCCGAATGCTCATATGGACAATTTCTGCCAGATCTGTGGTAGTAGCTTCTGAGCTCATATTGTCTGATGAGCCATATTTAGATACACTGAATCTTGACTCTGACGTAGTGACATAGTGATGTCATTTTGGTCCTCTTGGGGAACAAAGGACAACAATCAAGCCCAGTAATGGAGTCTGTGGTTCACAGGGTCTGGACATTTTAGTCCCTTTATTTCCGTAATTCCAAATTGCTTTCCAAAATGATCATTCCACTTCACAGCTCCACCAGCAATGTATTAAAGTGCCTACTTTCCCACAACCCCTCCAATATTGGCTGGGGCCATTTTTTGTCATTTTTGCCAGGATGTCAGGTGAAACCTCAGAGTTGTTTTGATTTGCATTTCTCTATTATTAGTGATTTGAAGCATTCTTTCATGTGGTTGGGAATACTTTGCTGATCTTTTGAGAGTTGTTTGTTCATCTCTTTTGACCACTTATCTATTGGAGAATGGCTAGTAGTTTCATAAATATGCACACATATATGTATATATGTGTGTGTATGCACATTCCTATGTATGTATGTATATGTGTATGTATAAATTGTTTCTATGTCTTGGATGCCAAACTCTTATCACAGAAATTTGATACAAAACCTTTTTTCCATTTGACCACTTCCCTTCTTATCCTAGATGTTTTAATATTGTTTGTGCAGAAGCTTTCAGTTATTTCTGATCAAAGATGTTTATTTTTTGTTTTGTAATTCCCCGTTTCTCTTGTTTGCTTAAGAAAACATCCTAACCCGTGGCTGTGAGAGCTGTTTGATCTGTTTCTCATCTACCTTTTTGGTATACTGTTCTTTAATACTGAGATCACATCCATTCAGAGTGTACTGGTGAGTGTGGTGGAAGGTGTTGGCCTGAGTCTAATTTCTCCCAGACTGCCTTCCAGTTTTTCCCGCAGTTTTCATCAGACAGCGGGTTCTCCCCGGTAATGTGGGTTTTCCTCTTTCTCCAACAGTGGCCTATTGAGTTCTCTTGTTTCTGGATCTTCCTTGTCTAGTCTGTTCTGTTGATGTTTCTCGCTGTTCTCCAAGCACTAGCAGATGGTTTTGATGACTGCTGCTTTAGAGTATGGCTTCAGGTCTGGAAGTGCTTATTCCCCTTCAGCCTTACTTCTTTTCATCATTTCCCTTGATAGGCTAGAGCTTTTGTTTTTCCAAATTAATTCTGTTATTATTGTATCATGTTCTACAGCATTGCCTTGGTGGTTAAATTGATATAACATTAAAAGTGTAAATTTAGCAGTATTGCCATTTGCATTAGATTGGATTTTTGTTGTTGATGATAATGATGATGAGTAATTTCAGTTGTGTATGACTCTCCATGACCCCATTTTCTTGACAAAGTTTTGGGGTGGTTTGCCATTTCCCTCTCCAGCACATTTTACAGATGAGGAAACTGAAGCAAACAGAGTGAAGTGACTTGCCCAAGGTCACATAGCTAATTAGCATCTAATACTAGATTTGAACTCAGGTCCCCCTAACTCCAGGGCCAGCACTTTGTCCACTGCAGCACCACCTAGTGACCCACATTTGATATATAGGCACAGCCTATCCTTGAGTGCTGCCTATTTCTCCAGCTATTTAGATTATTCTTTACTTTTTAAAGGAGTAATTCTATGTAAGTCTTTTGTGTGCTTTGAGGGGTCAGTCCCAAGGGTCATTTTATGCATTTTGTAGTTATTTGGAATGAGATTTCCCTTTCTTCTGCTTCTTGTATTTTGTTATTACCATATAGAAATGCCATTGATTTTTAAGGGTTTATTTTGTAGCTTGCAACTTTACAAAAATTATTAATTGTCTCAAATAGTATCTTTGCTAGTTCCCTAGAGTCTTCCAAGTAAGCCATCCTCTCATCAGCAGACAGGGATACTTTTATCTCCTCTTTTCCTATCTTTATTCCTTTTTCTTATCCTATTGCTATTGGGAGCATTTCTAGCCCTGTGTCAAATAATAGCAGACAGAGTGCTCATCTATGCTTCATTCTTGTATTTATTGGAAAAGGGATAGATAGATAGATAGATAGATAGATAGATAGATAGATAGATAGATAGATAGATAGATGGTACAAGGTGAGTTGGAGATGAAGGGATGATATCTAAAAAATAAAATTAAGAGGTGAGAGAGGATTATACTGGGAGAAGGAGAAAGGGAGAGGTAGAATGGGGTAAATTATCTCACATAAAACAGACAAGAAAAAGCTGTTACAGTGGAGGGGAAGTGGGGGAAGGTGAGAGGGAATGAGTGAATCTTATTCTCATCAGATTTGACTTAAGGAGGGAATAACATACACACTCAATGGGGTATGGAAATCTATCTTACCCTACAGGAAAATAGGGGGGAAGGGGGTAGAGAGAGGGGATGTTGGAAGGGAGGGCAGACTGAGGGGGGTAATCAGAAGCAAATGCTTTTGAGGAGGGACAGGGTCAAAGGAGAGAATAAAATGAACAGAGGGTGGGATAGGATGAAGGGAAATATACCTAGTTTTTCACAACATGACTATTACGGAAGTGTTTTTTCATGACTACACATGTATAACCTGTATCAGGTTGCTTGCTTTCTCAATGAGGGTGGGTGGGGAGGGAGGAAGGAAGAAAATTTGGAACCTAGTTTTAAAAATAAATGTTAAAAATTGTTTTCACATGCAACTGGGAAATAAGATATACATGCAACGGGGTATAGAAATCTGTCCTGCCCTACAGGAAAATAGAAGGGAAAGGGGATAAGAGAAGGGGTGGTGGTGATAGAAGGGAGGACAGATTAGGGGAAGGAACATTCAGAATGCACTCTGTCTTAAGGTGGGGGGAGGGGAGAGATGGGGAGAAAATTTGGCATTCAAAATCTTGTGGAAGTGAATGTTGAAAACTAAAAAAGTCAATTAATTAATTAATTAAAGAAAAGGTTCTAATGGATCCCCATGCCATATGATGTTTGCTTTTGGTTTTACATGCTTTTTATGGGATTAAAAAAAAAGCTCCCTCTATGCCTGTACTTTTTAGGGTTTTTAGCAAAAAAGTATTTTCTTCATCAAAGGTTTTTTTCTGCATCTATTGAGATAATCATGTGGTTTTGGATGTTCTAGTTTTTAATATGACTAATTATGTTGATTGTTTTCCTACTGTTGAACCAGTCCTGCATCCCTGGCTTAAATCCCACTTGACCATAATGAAGGATTTCTTGGATAAATCGCTGTAGTCTGTTTGATAGGATTTTGTTTAAAATTTTTCAGTCAATGTTCACTAATGATATTGGCCTATAGTTTTCATTCTGTATTTTATCTTTCCCTGATTTAGGTATTAAGACTATATTTGTTTCATGAAAGGATTCTGTTTGGAAGATTTCTTTTTCAATTTTTGAGAATAATTTATGAAGGGGCGGGTAGCATAGTGAATAAAGTGCTGGGCCTGGAGTCAAGAAGACATTTTCCTGAGTTCAAATCTGGCCTCAGACACTTACTAGCTGTGTGACCCTGGGCAAACCCTTGTTTGCCTCAGTCTCCTCATCAGTAAAATGAACTGGAGAAGGAAATGGCAAACCACTGTAGTATCTCTGCCAAGAAGACTCCAAATGGGGTCAGGGAGAGCTGATCACAGCTGAAAAAGGACTTAACAACAACTAACTCCTTTCAAAGTTTGACAGAATTCTCCTATGACTCCATCAGGAGTAGGAATTTTTCCCCCTTTGGTAGTCTATTTCCTTTTCTGAGATTGGGTTATTTAAGATCACTATCTGGTCTTCTGATGGGTTGAGTATTTTGTATTTTTGAATATATTCCTGTTTTGTTAGCATTCACCTGTGTATAATATGTTCTGATTTAAAAAAAAATTTCTGAAATAATATAAGAATAGTCAGGCTACCTGAAAATTATGATGAAAAAAAGGAATCTTGGTACAATGTTACAAGAAATTATCAAGGAAAATTGCCCTAAAGTTCTAGAACAAGAAATCAAAGCAGAAATGGAAACAAAAATCCACTGATCACTACCTGAAAGAGATCCTAGGAGGAAAACTTACAGGAATATCATAGCCA